ATGTGAGTTAATGAGGTCACTGAGAGATAATATCTATAGAGAAAATAGGGGCCAGGCCAGAGTTTGAGGGGTACATCCAGAGTTAACAGAACATGATATGGATAAACCAAAAAATGAGATAGAGAAGGAACAATCAAATAAGAGAATAATAGAAGGCAGTGTCCTGAAAAAACAAAGAAAGGAGAGTATTGGGAGTGTGAGGTGTGGAGAGGTCAACAGTGTCAAATACTGCAGAAAGGTCAAAAAAGATAAAGACTGAGAAAAGCCTAGCAGATTTGGAAATTAAGAAATCATTGGTGACTTTGGAGAGAGCAGTTCACTCAAGTGACAAGGGCAGAAGTCCAACTGCAAAGTGAGAGAAGAGATAATTGAGTATAGAAATTTTTTTCCTAGGAATTCGGCTGAGAGGAACAAGTGATATAGAATACTAGCTTGATAGTCTAATGAAGGTTTTGACTTTTTTTTTTAAGGGCAGGGGAGATTTGGGAATGTTCAAAAGAAGGAGAGAAGGAATCATTAAATGAAGAGAGATCAAAGAATCAGAGGCAGGGATTATTGAGATGGTAACTTGTGGAGAAGAGAGGAGGAGAGATGGGGCAAAGAGTGTATGTAGAAACATTTGCTTTGCTGTGAAAAAGAGCTATATTATTATCAAAGATGGGAATAAAGGAGGATAGAGAGTAAGGAATGATGTCAAGGGGTTTTCAGATAAAGAGAAGGAAGAAGAATAAGCTCATGGTAATTGGCTTATATTTTCTCAGTAAAGTATGAGATGAGATCTTCTAGCTGAGAGGTTTGAGGGAGGAGGTGTAGGAAGTTTGTAGAAAGGAGTTACGGAACAGTTTCTGTGGTAGGTGGAGTGGGATAGGGAATCCTTTGGGCAGAATTAAGTGGATTATCTTGCAAACAGGGAAGGCCCAGTTGAGGTTAGGTAAATCCAGTCTGTTCAGTTTTGTGACTTCTTCCAGTGAAGTAGCTCAGTGGGTGGAGCCAAATATAACCTGCCAAAATAACCCATTCAACATAGAATATAAACTCCTTGAAGGCAGGGACCTTTTCATTTTTGTTTTTGTATCCTAGTGCCTAGCACAGTGACTGACACATAGAAAGCACTTAAATGTTTATTGGTTGATTGGTAGTACTTGCTAAACTATAATTGTTAGAAAGTTTTTCTTTACATTAAACAAACATCTGCTTCTTTACAGCTGCCATTCACCTCACCACTCAGAATTAAACAACAAGTCTAACTCTTATTCATATAATAGAATTTTAAATAATTGAAGACAGCCATCATATTCCTCCTAAGGTCCTAAAATTCTTATGATCATGGGATGCTAGAAGGATGATGGTGGCCTCAATAGAAATTACGAAGTCCAATAGAGAGGTATGTTGTTTATGGGAAAGATATAATAAGTTCTATTTTGGTCATATTAAGTTAGAGATGTCTGTGGTACATTCCACTGGAAATGTCTATTGGGCAGTTGGTGCTGTAGGATTGGAGCTCAGGAGAAAAATAAAGGCTATGTGCATCCTTAGCTTCTTCAACCTACAGTTGCAAAAGCATGGTCTCCAGTTCCCTCGTCATCCTGGCCTCTGTTCACATTCAGACTTTCAGCACTCATAATCAGACAGAATAACACCGATGTGACTAGGACAGAGTACAGCAAGCTTATCACTTTCCACATTCTGGGAACTATGCCTCCCAGTGCAGACAAGGTTAGCTTTATTTTATTTCAATTATTTATTTTACTGCTATGTCACATTATCAATTCCTTGGGTTTACATTCCACTGTTCACCAAAAACCCCTGATCTTTTTCACATATTGCCTAGCTATTGCTCTCCCATCTTGTACTTAAGAAATTGATCTTTAAAAAAAACTGTAGAATTTTATGTTTATCTTAATTAGATTTTATTTTTGTTAGATTCAGTATCATTCTAGTTTGCTGAGATCTTTTTGAAAAAATCTTTCCCATCCAATGCAACTTTGACAAGTGTGTCATGCTTTCATCTGAGATATTGATAAAAAAAATAATCAACTAACCTATGATCAAGGACAGATCCCTGAAGTTCTCTATTAGAGACTTCGAGTCACTTTGACTCCTCAGTGCCTATGGCTTGAGTCCAGTCAGTAAGTGAATTGTGAATCTGCCTAATTGTACTTTGATCTAGTCCAGATCTTTCCTTCACTTTCTTCAACACAAAGTTGTGAGGTTAGTATGAAAGACTTTGTGGATATGGGACTGCTCCCCCAACCCCACTACCAAAAAAAAAAAATACCGGCTTAACGCTGCTAGGTGGTACAGTGGATAGAGTGCCAGGCCTATAGTCAGAAAGACTCATCTTCTTGAGTTTAAATCTGGCCTCAGATACTTACTAGCTGTGTGATCCTGGGCAAGTCACTGAAGCCTGTTTGCTTCAGTTTTCTCATCTGTAAATGAGCTAGAGAAGAAAATGGCAAACCACTTCAGTATCTTTGCCAAGAAAACCCTAAATGTAGTCATAAAGAGTTAGACGCTACTGGAATAACTGAATAACAAGAAACCCACTAGGAATAAAAAATAGGGCTTTGTACTTTAGATCATACCTTTCAGAAAAGAAATTAGAAAATAGGGCTTATTTGTTCATTAATTGTCTTGATTTTCTTCAAGCACCACTGATTACAACTCACTTGATTATAGTCCCTTTATCAGTGGCATAGTTTAAGAGCGTGAGAACGAAGTATAAGAGAATATTGTTTATAGGTAACTGATGAAGTAGGTATTTCAACAATTTTGATTTATTGAGCTCATATTATGAATAAGGTAATGTAGTATCTAAAGGTGAATGAGACTAAGATGCCCTCAAAATGCTTTCACTCTAGATGGAGAGATGGCCCTATGTACAGTGCATTAAATTAGGCTTTTTTGGAAGCCTGCATTATAGTCCTAGCTTTGTCACTTGAACAAAAGTTCCTTTACTTCTCTGGACCTCAGTTTCCTCATTTTAAAAAGGAAGCTGTTGGACTTGAGGACAACATTAACACCTGGAATGCTCCTGAACAGAACTGGAAGGGCATTACATGTAATTGGGAAATATTTAACAAAATACATAAAAATACAGTAGAACATAGATAATGCTGATATGTAGTTTTCTGAGTCAAGATGTGCCTTCAGAGATCTTTATGTACTGCTTAGTGGCTCAGTTTCTTTTTGAGTTTGACTCTACTGAATTCGACCTCCAAAGTTTATTCTGGCTCTGACATTCTATGAAATGTTATGAAATCCATTATATTCTAATAATTAATCAAGTATTTATTAGGAAATTACCAGGTACCAAGATCTGTGTCAGGTACTGGGAATACAAAGACAAAAAATAAACAGCCCTGTCTTCTGTAAGCTTATAGCTTATCAGGGTAGATAATATGTACATGTATGTCTATACAGAACAGTTTCAAAATAAATACAATATAGTTTAGGTACAGTATTAGCAGCTGAGGGAGGAGTCAGGAAGGATTTATGTAGGAACTAGTGCTTGAGATGAATTTTGAAAGAAGTAAAGGATTCTTTGAGCTGGAGGATAAGGAGGGAGGGAATTCCAGGCATGGGAATACCAAGTGCCAAGGCAGTAGTTGGGAAGATGGACTTCTGTGAGTGAGAAATAGCAAGAATGCCAGCTTGGTTAGTTGATAGAGTGAAGAAGGGGAGTAATACATAATGCAAGGCAGACAGACTATGCACCCTAAGAGAGTGCAGAAGTAACATAGGAGGCTAGAGGAGAGATTTATCACTTCTGACTTGGGTGCCCAGAAAGACTTCAGAGGAGAGGTGGATTTGAACTAGGCCTTAAAGGATGGATAGTTGATGATTACAGAAACAGGTAAATATGGGGAAAAATGACAAGTTACTCGGTGCCAAGGAGCACTGGTGGACTCTGGAGAGTCTTTTTGCCCTGACTTGCTTTCCGTGTTCCATTTTTTTTCACTTTCAGGACCTTGGTTTGCCCAGTGTTCTCCCTCTTCTTTATATGGCATCATTGTTTCTTTTTTTCAGTCCTGCAGTGCCCATAGTTCTCTCCTGCTGGAAGAAGTTCATATCTCCATCTTAGTGAAGAGAGCACTCTTATGAAGTGGAGGACTTTGGGGTGCCTTGATTATTCTGTCCTTGAAATAAGCATAGTAGACATTGTCAATATTTTATGGGAGGAACTGCTTTCTTGTTACAGAGGATCTAGGGTCAGACGACCTGAGTTGGAATTCCAGGTATTATTTTACTACCTTTGTAATCTGGGGCAAGTCATTTAACATATCTGGGCCTAGGTTTCCTTGTAAAATAAAGATGGCCTTGATGAAATGACCTTTGAGGTTGCTTCCTGATCTAAATCTTAATGAGCGAATGTGTTTAGTTATGGCCTATATTTTTCTGTTGTGATATTGGTCACCTTAAGAAAGACTCACAGGAAAATAAGGCTAGAAGCCCTACTTCTAAGAGGTAAGGGGGGGGAGATAAGGCTGGAAAAGATATAATGGGACCAGTTTTCCAAGACGAGGATGCCTACTGAGCAGTTTGTGTGACAGTCCAAGGAAGGCCTTGGAGGTAGCCCAAGAGGGCCGGGCCAAGGTCATGGCTGAGCTTCTGGATGCACCTGTGTGCAAGTTGGGTCTGTCTGATCAGGAAAAGTTGGATGAGGTGGGGCTGCGAGGCCCAGGCGTGTTCCTTTTCTCCCTTCATAGCTTCCCTACAGAAGACTTTGCTCGAGACACCAGGTCACGGCCCCTCCCCGCAGCCTCGGGCCTGGCTGGGGGGAGGGGCAGGCGCGCGGCTAGGGGGCGGGACTTCAGGCTTCGGCCTCCGCCCCCGCCTCTGCCCTTACGCTGCTGCCCTCGGTGGCCCGCTGTCGCCCACGGGGGGCCGCACGGGGGCGCAGCCCGCAGCCTGGAGGTCTGAGAAGGAGGAGGAGCTGTCGGAGAAGGAGGAGGAGGCGCCGCCGAAGCCGCCGAAGCCGCCGCCGCTTTCACTTCCGTGTCTGGGCCGGCTTTGTGCCGCCGGCCTAAGGTCGACGTAGGGGAGGGAGGGAGGGAAGCCTCGTCCCGGGCTGCCCCGCCTCGGCTCAGCTCTCCACGCCCTGTCGGGCCCCCGTTCTGAAGCCAGTAGGGGCCTCGGTTCCGGGCCGGGGTAGGCGACCCGGGAGAGGCGGGGACGCAGGTAAGGAGGGCTGGGGCGGCGACGGGGGAGAGGGGAGGGGAGAGGACGGATGGGGACTCCGGGATGGGTGATGGGGGCGAGGCCGGGGCGCGCCGAGGTGTGCGAGGAGGGCGATTCACCCCTCAGCTCCCCGGCCCTGAGGTCAGGGTGGCCCCCGGCGCCAGTCTGCGGGAGCCCTGCGTTACAGGGAAAGTTCCCAGTGCCGGCCCCTCCCGCCCATGTTGCGGGGGCGCGAGCGAGCACAATACCCCCTCCTCCGCCCCGTCCGCAAGCCAACTCCTTCCCCTCCCCCTCGGCCCCCGATGCCCCGCAGGGTGCCTCGGCCGGGACCGGACGCCGGAGGTGTTTGCAGTGACCGTGATGGTAGTTTGAGTAGGTTAGGAATGACGATCCCCAGTGTGGGCTGGGGGAGAATGAGAGAGTCGAGGGAGTAGGGATGGTTTCTTTGTATTTGCATCCCCGGCTTGGCGCACACATAGTAAGCGCTTAATGACTGCTTGGGCATGGATGGACGGACGGACAGATGGATGGACTCCACTGTTGGGAATCTTTTGGATATTGACTCAAGCTATCAATTCCAATTCGGAAAATATTAAGCGCCTATTAGGTGAGCATGCCAAGTCAGACATGAAATAGTTTCTCTTGCCCTGCAAGAGCTTACGCTCTCCTGGGGGTAAAGGCGGAGAAAAGACTACTTAAGGTAACTGACGTCTGGTAAGTAAGGGGGGGAAACCTTAGAGCAAGGGTTCTTCATCTGTTTAGTCCCATAGACCCCTCTTGCTATGGCGATGCCTATGGACGCCTCTCAATGTTTTTAAATGCATAAAATAAAAATATAGAATTATAACAGAAACTAGTAATGAAATAGTCATAAAAAAACCAACAACAAAAAACAAAGCACAGATAAGTTCACAAACTCCTGGTTAAGAAACCCTGCCCTAGAGAGAACTGACAAAGTGCTGTAGAAACATTTGAGGAAGTAGAGAGCTCAAGCAGCTAGGGAGAGAGATCAGGGAAGATTTCTGGAAGAGGTAGCTCCTGAGCCTAAAATATTTAAGAAGTAGATGAAGTTCTTTTACTCTCTTACTATCCCCGATACCAAGTGGCCAGAAGGCTTTATTGGGATGATCTCTTGGCTCAGAGGTGATTCTGTGATTCTATGATGTGTTATAGTGATAGTGAGAGAGATAGTGTTAGTTATGCTGGGTGGATATGTGAACATTTGGGGAGATAGTTTAGAAGCCAGGAAAACTTGGGTTAAAGTTCTGCTTCTGACCCTGCTCTTGTGCCTCAGTTTTTCAGTGTTGTAGACAGCTCTTTAAAGAGTATAATTTGCAGAGAAGTTGCTGACCTGCATTGATCGGTAGATGGTGTTTCCTCACTTAGATGGTTCCTATACTAATGAAATCACAGGTCCAATCCTTTTTTTAAACGTTTGGGACTTGGTGGTGTAGTTGGTCTTAATTAATGTGGTTATTCCTCAGGCTTCTCTTTGATTTTTCTTAGAATGAGGTCCAAAAACAATTTATAACTAAACAAAAAAAGTGTAAGGAAAAAAGCAGGGTTGTCTTTTGAACCTCTTAGTAGAGATTTTAAATTTGGTCCCTAATGTTAGGTGATCTAATTATTGGAACCAGGAATGACTTCCATCAAGGAACCTTTTAGGGTCCATAAATTTAACCATGGTCAATGATATTTTATTGACTTCTTGCATTTGATTCTCTTAAAAATGTTTTTTAAGTGTTGTCCCTCTTAACACCATCTAGAAAATTCAGCCAGTGTAGTATGAAGCAGACTTAAAGATGTTCTTTATAGGACTTGAAGGATGTGTTGTCTGCTAGTATACTCAGAATTTTGATCTTAAGTGACAAAGTGTGTAGGGTTAGGTTCTTCTTACTTTAATACTTAAACATGTGTGAGTAACTCTCACTGATTTCTAGGCTTAGGAAAAAAAATATTAGTTGCTGTGGCTGAAAGCATTCATTACCAGGTGGTAACCTTCTGGTGATGAGCCAGTTCTGGTAATAAAGCTAATTCTTATATGACAGACATAGACATCACTGGGTCTGTACTTGAAGCCTTTCCAGCTTGGTAGGAATTGCCAAAGCTTGCAAAATATTGGTGTCGTTTTTGATGATCTAGTGTCACTTCTGTGTTGGAGCTAAGCATCAAAGTAGAGTTTTAGTAGAAAAGGCCTTAGTTAATAAAATTTAAATGATGGTTACTACTGTTAACTTTATCTGTCCAGCAATAATTATTAGCTACTTAACTGAATAATTTACTTTCTTGTTTAAATTCTGTCAACAAATAATAAACTCTTGAGAAGCTGACTACTGATATCTTTAAAGCCTTATTTCATACCACTTACTGTCCCCAAGTGGAGTTCTTTCCATTCCCCAATCTAGTCTTGCCCTCCCCCTTTTCCTTGCATAAATATCTTTACCCATCGAAATATTTCTCTTTCTAAGAGTCTAAAGTGCCACCTTCTCCATGAAGCCTTCCCTGATTCTCCCTTTCTGCCAGCTGTCCTGCTTTGTACCTCATACTTCTATTTGATCTTTTCTGTGCATTTAATTATATTGTAAGTTTTAATATAGTTATTTTTATGTATGTCTGACTCATCTCCTTACCTATTAAAATACAGGGATCTCAGTCTCTTGAGTCAGAGACCATGTAGTTTTTCATCTTAGTATCCCCAGTGTTTAGCCATAGTATATTGTCCAAAACTGTTTTGGAGCTGCGATCTCATTCATATAGGGTGTAGGTACTTTTTCCAATGATCTAAATTGTAGCCCATCCATTTCCTTTACATACTGGGTATATTTATGTTGTCCCATAAATCTGCCATGGTAGAAGAGTCCTTCCCAATGTGTTAGAAGACTTCTGTGAGTTCTTTAGCTACATGCAGACTTATCAACTATCCTCAGTTTTCACTGTGATTGGCTTATTTTTTTTTTAATTTTAGCCATAGTGGCTTTAGTAAATATTTATTAAATTGAATTTAAATGGTAGCTTTTAATTGTCAGGATTAACTTTCAGCTATTGTACTTTAGAATATACATGAAAATGAAATGATTCCATAGTTCATTATTTTTATTTCAGTTTAGTTTTATAATTTAAGTCATTTAGTCAGAAAATATTTGTATAAGAATCAGTAATTTAAAAAAAAGACCCTTATGATCTTGCACCTTTTAGCATACATTGAACTGTCTTATGTGTTAAAGCACTTTAATTCAGTGTTGCTGTCACTTAAGGTGAATTTTAAAACCTGCTTCTCATGTATTATAGGAAATAGTGGTTGTATATTTCTTTTTTATTCAGCCATGGAAATTCATATGAGCACAACTGTTTTGCAGATTTGGATAGTACTGTGGCCTAATAATTAGGACAGTTGGTGGGAGCAATGGAAGGCAGCAAGGCAGAAGAGGTGCTGGATATTCTCAGACTAAATGTGGGAGGCTGTATTTATACAGCCAGGCGGGAGTCCTTGTGCCGCTTTAAGGAGTCGATGCTTGCATCTATGTTCAGTGGACGATTTCCTCTAAAGGTGGATGAATCTGGTAAATGTATTAAAGTTATAAACATTGTTATAAATCTTCGTTAAAGTGGGTTTCCAGTTTAACTGCTCTTCAACATTCTGAAATTAGATGGTGTAGTAGATAGAGTGCTGGGCCTGGAGTCAGGAAGACCTGAGTTCAAATCCAGCCTCAGACACTTTTTAGCTGTGTGATCCTGAGTAGGTCACTTAACTGCTGTGTGCCTCAGTTCTTATCCGTAATATAGGGATAATAAAAGCAACTACCTCCTGGGGTTGTTGTGAGGATTAAAAATGAATTAATGTTTGTAAAGTGGTTTGCAAACCTTAAAGGACTATATAAGTACTAGCTAATAATAACAATAATGATAATAAGTATATTAATGAATAATGTCATTGAACAGTCATTGAACAGAATCGTATTTGGCATTTTCTTTCTTGTTATTTTATATGAAAATGAAAGAAGTGGACCTTTTTTTATTCCGTTTAGGTCAATGTCCAAAATCCATGTTGGTTTGGCTCAGTTAGGGAAGAAATGAGAAAGCATCAAGGCCAATAAAGATCTAAAAATGTGATTAATTTTATTTGGAAGCTCAATTTACATTAGAGCAACTTCATGGATAAAGGTATTTAGGATGATTAGATGTATTAGTCTCTCCCTGTGTTCTTCACAGTAGAGCGCTTATTTCTGTGGAGAGAGCAGCTGTCTGATGTACAACTGACAAAGAGTAACTAATGTAAGTGTAGAATTAGTGTTAGACTTGTTACATAGTCTTGTTGCATGATCTGAAATATTTCTGAGGGAGCATTTCAATATAGTGATGTATCCAGAAGAATAGAAAGATGCAAAAGTTACTGCTAGATAGATACAGAAGAAAACTTTAAAAACACAATTCCAGGGCTCTGATGCTGTTCTTAACCATCTTTTGATTCCCCTTGGGGCCCTTGAAGCCTGTTTCATGTTTCCTGTTAGATCAGAAGAATTGGATGATTCTAAAGAGTAGAGGTATTCCTGGTGCTAATGCCAGTGAAGTCTAAAGAAATTACTTTCCCAGCTGAATGATAGCTGGGAAAGACCATAAAACCCTCCACAAAGCTGTCACTCCATGCTGATAGCTCAGGCCTAGAGTGGTCAATTAGGAAGAAGATAGGATTCCAGTTAACAGACAACATCAGGGAGACTGAGACTTCCCCTCTCACCAGTTAGTTCTTATCCAAAATGCTGCTGTTGTACTCTGTTTTCTAAGCCACTACTAGGAAGGAGTATCCCCAAAGTGTGATAGATTGGTGAAGAAAAGGCACTTTCTTTGGGTTGGTCTGTTAAACTATAATATTTAGAAGCACTATTTGGCTTGTTGCATTGTCTGTATTTTTCAGTTTAAGCAGCAACAATGACCCGACTTAAGTTTAAAATACAGACATTCTTTAAGATATTTTAGTACCTAGCATAAAATGTCTCTTGCATGTAAATCATTACCATAGTCAGTCTTTTGTCCTTGAGGTGGGGGTGAATCTGTCCCTGCCTTATGGCTAGAGAAGATTCTTTCTTCCCCCCTGTGCTTCAAAACTGTCATCTATTCTTGAGCCTTTACTTCCTTACTTAGGCTGAGGGACAAGTTCCCTTGTAGAACAGCAGCAACTAGAGGCTTCTTTGGCTGGATCTGGTGGGGAAATGTGTTCAGTGTCCTAAGTACCAGATTGAAACTTGGAATGCGTTTTCCCATAGAAATAATGTTATAAAAAGTGGTTAGTTTTCCAGGCCAGCTCACAAAAGTCTATTTAACCCATAATCTAGCTGAGTTACAGTACCACCACATGAAGCAACTGACTTACAAATGAACTTTTATAACACCCATTTGTAAACTAGGGACTGTGTATTTGCTATATTTTCTCATTACCTGATAAAGAAATTTCTATTTCTGGATAAGTGATTTATTGGTTATTGTGATTTACATTGTAGCTCTTTATTTGCAGTTATCTGTTTTATAAACAGTCATGTCAAGAAAGTCAGGAGACTTGAATTCTAGCCCCAGCTCTGCTACTTAACTTGTTTTGTGAACTTGAGCAAATAGATTTTGCCCCCAGTTTTCTCATCTTTAGAATGAGAAGGGATTTTACCCATAAAATTTTGTGAGTCTTTTAAGTTTTTTTTTCCTACATGAAATAATTAGAAAAAACAAATACCTACTTTTGTAGGAAGTACCCATTAAGAGATACAGCGTAAGCACCAAATGATCATGAAAGATCCATGGACTGGCTAGGTACAGACTTGGCTTGACGAAATTTTGTTGGAGGTCTGATTTATGTGTCTAATCATTTTTTGCATTATGTGTGTTTCTAGGGGCTTGTCTTATTGATCGTGATGGAAATCTGTTTAAATATCTTTTGGATTATCTTCATGGGGAAGTTCGGATTCCTAAAGATGAGCAAACTCGAATTGCGCTGCAGGAGGAGGCTGATTACTTTGGCATCCCTTATCCTTACAGTTTATCTGACCACTTGGCCAATGAAATGGAGACATATGCTTTAAGGTCAAATATAGAACTTAAAAAGGTCTTGGCATTTTCTTAAGTTTCTTTTAAAGTATTTATTAACTTATGTCAGTCAGCACAAAATAATGACAGCACATACTTTTAATAGCATGTTTTATGTAAAAATTATGAAGACATTGCATTTTCCTAATTTTAGAATGGAGAATTCATGCATGTTTTATGCAGTGGACCAAAATAACCACTCTTTGTAACAAAAAACATATAAACTTGTTATATCTTGGTTAAGAGGTCTTGGGACCTCTCATAAGGTTAATGTTTTTCCTTTTTAATTTGAAAGAGATTACTTTGATATACAAACTATATATATATATATATATATATATATATATATATATATATATATATATATATATATATACACACATACACACACACATGTATATATATGTATATATTTTTATGTTTTTTTTCCACATTAAAGATATAGTATTCCTTGATTACTTCTTTTTAGGAATGTTCTGGCTATTGAATTTGTTTATAAATTAACAGTGACATTGTGGCATGTGAAGTGGTGCTCTCTTTATCATAATTGCTCCTTATGTTAGGAGAATTGCCATATTGAGTACAAGCACTAATGTTGCCAAATTAGTAAATGTAACAATTTGTAAATTTGAGAATTAATTTATGTTATTTTATGACCATTAGAGCTTTTTTTGCAATATACTTTTTTTGACTGTGTTTTTAGTACTTAACATGACTAGTGAGCTTTGTTAGTTGCCTTTCACTCTAGTGGTAGATGTTATACATTTTAACAGGCATTTGGTACCAATTAAAATTGAGTAAGATTAATTTGTTTAATCTGCTTTATTTAGCATATGTATCAGAGACTTTAAGCTAATAGTCCATAACTGTAGTATGATAAAATTGAAGGAATATTGTAGGAGACCTTAGGCCATAGTACTCAGGAAGGACATTTGAGTGTCTTTTAACCAAACCTCTTGGGGCCTTTTACTGCCTGTCCTTGTTTTGCTACTGAATTTGTTTTAGGAATTGATTTAGGTAAATGAATTAATCTCTGTGGATATCAGTTGCTTCTTCTATAAAATGGGGATAAAAACCTTACCTGCTTGAAAGCTGACTGCTAGAAAAGATAATCTTTTGAAATTCTTCTAGAACTTTAAGATTTATATTCTGTGATTCTTTTATTCTCAGTTGATAATCAGGAAAAGAAATTATTATATATATTTATATAGTACAGATTTATTTAGTGTTTACTATATTGATAACACTGTATTAGGAGCTATAGAAGAGTCTGTCTATCTGTACCGTATGGGGGGTGTGTGTGTGTGTGTGCACGCACGCGTATACACGCCCATGTGTGCATGTGCATATATCTATGTATATCTGTATGTGTGGGGGGGTGTGTGTGGGTGGGTGTATATACACACACCCACCCACACACACACACACACACACGACAGTCCAGGATTTCAATATGGTTTGGATAGACAAGACATGAATACATTAAAAAAATTTTTTTTTAATATAGACAACTATAGGTTGTTACCTATGTGGCTAATTCCTGTAATCTCTGTTATTGTTAAGGCCAAGGCTGTTGGAACTCTTAAGCTCTGAAGTCTTGAGCTTCAGTAGGTTAAGCTGTTGGGGTGTCCATGTTATGTTCTGCATTAAGTGTTAGAAGCTGCATTTAGCCCCAGGTCTCTGTTAACTCAAAGTCTAGTACTCTTTTGATTGTACCATATTGCTTTCTGAAGCAAAAAGTCAGTATGGCAAAATCATTCTCATTGAATTAAATTCAGATTTTCTGATGTCTCTTCCAGGCTTTGACAGACTTTTGTGATTCTTATGGGTTAGCCTGTAACAAACCTACTGTTTGGGTTCTACACTATCTCAGCACATCTGGTGCAAGCTGTGAGAGTAGAATTATTGGTGTGTATGCCACAAAAGCAGATGGAACTGATGCAATTGATAAACAGCTAGGAGGAAGAATTCGTAGCATTTACAAAAGGTAAGTACAGATTTGATTGTGGAAAAAAAGAAGTAAAATTTGCATAACATGAAATACTTTCAATACATGTTACAAAAAATGACATTGACTGTAAATAACATCAGACTATGTAGTTTGTATTTTTACCACAACTATGAAAGACATTAAAAATTCTGTATTTAAGTTAAAGGAGTTTGTAAGGTGGGATAGCTGTTCTAGATACTTTAAGAAATGTTTGTAATTGAAGAACAGTTGTATTGATGTAATTTTTTTGCAAGTGCTTTGTCATTAGCCTTACTTTTTTTGTTTTTTGGGAATCATAACAAGATTTAAAGGGAGAATAGGCCTCAGATCATCTAACCTTCTCTACCCCCTTCCAAAAGGTAAAGAAACTGAGTGTGTGATTGTTATCAGTTTGTCTTAGGGAGGTCACATGATATATAAGAATACAGGATTAAAAATCAGGAAATCTAGATAATCATAGCTCTCCTTTGGCTGACTAGACAAAATTTGAGTAGGAGAGTTTTTCTAAGCCACTCACTTTGTTATATGTCATTGGGCAAGTCATGTAATACATTGTCTTTTTCTTTTCATTCCTCTTTAACCTTCCTTCAAGGAGAATTTTTATCCTCATACCATATGCTTTAATATGGATGTTCTTTATCCTTGACCCTCATCTCTTATTCCTTTCCATTCTCTCTCCTGATAATTTCATTCAATTTATAGTATCCACTACCATTCCTATGCAGATGACTCTCAAATCTTCATTTCTCTTAACTCTGTGACCTTTGGACCCACATCTCCAGCTGCATTTAGCAATCTCTACCTGAATTCCCACGGACTCCTCAAACTCAACATGTCCAAGATCAAGCTTATCTTCCCACCTAAATTTATTTCTTCTCCGCCTTTACTTTTTCTGATTGTGGCACCATCATTCACTCATTCTGTCATGTTTGAAGTCTTAAGGTTGTCTTTAACTTTTCCCTTTCATACTTCTCATATTTATTTAGTTATTAAATCCTGTCAATTCTACCTTAATAGCACATCTAGCATCTATACCTTTTTTGCTATTTTCTACTGCCTCTACCCTATTATAGGCCCTTATTGCCACCCCTGTGGACTTCTTATAGTCTCCTTACATGTTAAGTCTGTCAGCTCCCATTTTCCTCCCCTTCCATTTATCCCTGTGATCAGAATACTATTTTTTATGTCTTGTTCTGGCCGTATTACTCTTCTGATAAAAGTTCTTTGGATTCTTCTTGCCTTTTGAATAGAGATGAGATCTGTTTTTATCTTTGAAGGCTATCTGTAATCTGGTACTGCACTGTATCATATTGTTCCTCTTCATATGCACTGTACCCCATCCTAACTCATGTAGTCTCTGATCCTCTCCATGTCTGTGTCTTTGCTCACGTTATTCCAGTTGTCTCAAATGCCCCGCCCCCTTCTGAGGACATTGATTTCTTACCCATCCTTTAGAATACAGCTCAAATGACATTTTCCAGAATGCATTCCCTGATTTTACTCCTATATCAACTCTGAACCTTCCCCTTGGAACCTCAAATAGAGCTTGTTTGCAACTCTCTAACATACTTGTCGTATAATGTTGTATATTATGGTTATCTCTGTTTGTGTTAAGCAAATCATAATATCATAAATTTATAGCTAGAAATGACCTTAGAGGTCTTCTAGTTTCTCATTTTATAGATGAGGAAACCAAGGCCCACAGTGGTTAAGTGACTTGTCCAAAGTCATCTAACTAGCAGAACCATGATTTGAATTCAGTTCCAAATCCAGTTCTCCTTCCACTTTACCTTGGGCATCTTATCCCTCTTCTAGACTGTAAGCATCATGAAAATAAGGTCTTTTATCTATGTTTCATATCTTCTACTTTGCCTAGCACTATGCTTGGCACTCAGTAGCTTTTTTTTTTTGTCTTTTGGCTGGACAGTGGGGGTTAAGTGACTTGCCCGGGGTCACACAGCTAGTAAGTATTATGTGTCTGAGGATGGATTTGAACTCAGATCCTTCTGACTCCAGGGCCAATGCTCTATCCACTGTGCCACCTAGCTGCCCCCTACTCAGTAGATTTTTTTAAAACAGCTATTTAATTTTTTTTCCATTTACTTGTGAAAACAATTTTAACATTGGTTTTTTTTAAATTTTAGTTTCAAATTCTCTCCCTCTCTCCCCTTCCCCTTCATTGAGAAGGCAAGAAATTTGATATAGATTATATATGTGCAGTTGTGCAAGACACATTTCCATATTAGTCGTGTTTTGAAAGAAAACACATACTCAAAAGAAAAAAAAACAAAAAAAGAAATTTAAAAAAGTATGTTTCAATCTTCATTTAGACTCTATCAGTTCCTTCTCTGGAGATGGATAGCATTTTTCATCATAAGTCCTTTGGAATGTCTTAGATATTGTATTGCTGAGAAAAGCCAAGTCATTCGTGGTTGATCATGATACAATATTGTTATTACTATGTACAGTGTTCTCCTGGTTCTGCTCATTTCACTGTGCATCAGTTCATGTAAGTCTTTCCAGGCTTTTCTGAGTTTACCCAGCTCATCATTTCTTATAGAACAATAGTATTCCATCATAATCATATACCAGAATGTGTTTAGCCATTCCCCAATTCATAGGCATCCCCTCAATTTCCAATTCTTTGCCACTCCTAAAAGAGCTGCTATAAATACTTTTGTACACATACATCCTTTTCCATTTTACTTTTTTGTCTCCTTGGGATGCAGACCTGGTAGTGTGGTATTGCTGGGTCAAAGCATATGCATGATTTTAAAGACTTTTGGGCATATTTCCAAATTGCTGTACAGAATGATGCAATCAGTTCACAAATCCTACAACAGTGCATTAATGTCTCAATTTTCCCACATCACTACCATTTGTCATTTTCCTTTTCTGTCATATTAGTTAATCTGATAGGTGTAGGGTAGTACATCAGAGTTGTTTTAATTTACATTTCTCTAGTCAGTAGTGATTTAGAGCATTAGATAACTTTGATTCCTTCATCTGAAAACTGCCTGTTCATATCCTTTGGCCATTTATCAATTGGGAAATGACTCCTATATTTAAATTTTATTATATTTATTTTACTTTATTTAAATTTTACTTATTTTTATAAATTTGAATCCATTATTTACTTGAGAAATGCAGCCTTTATCAGAGAAACTTGTTGTAAATTTTTTTTTCAGTTATGATCATAAACTGTATTTCCCTCCATCCCATTTCCTCTCCTGGTTTAATCCTATTTTCTTTCTCCTTTCACCCCTTTCCATCCTCAAGTATTTTGCTTCTGACTGTCACTTCCCCCATTCTTCTCTCCCTTCTGTCAGCCCCCTCCCCCTCTCTTATCTCTTTCCCTTCCTACTTTCCTGGTAGGGTAAAATAGATTTCTATACCTAGCTGAGAGAGGTGATTAATGGAGTCTTTCAATTTCTGTTTTACACTTTGGTTCTAGAATATTAGGGCAGTTTTCCTTGATAATTTCTTGAAAGATAATGTCTAGGCTCTTTTTTTTTTTGGTCATGGCTTTCAGTTAGTCTAGTAATTCTTAAATTATCTGTCCTCAACATATTTTCCAGATCAGTTGTTTTTCCAAAGATATTTCACATTTTCTTCTATTTTTTTCATTCTTTTGACTTTATTTTATTGTTTCTTTATGTTTCATGGAATCATTAGCTTTTGCTTTTGTACCTCCTTTTTCATTTGTCCAATTCTATTTTTTAAGGAGTTCTTCTCTTCATTGGATTTTTGTGCTTCTTTTACACTTAGGCTTATTTTGTTTTTTAAGGTATTATTTTCTTTTACCTCCTTTATCAAGCTGTTAACTCTTTTTTCATGCATTACTTTCATTACTCTCATTTCTTTTCTCAGTTTTTCGTTTGCCTCTCTTATTTGGGTTTTAAAATTTATCTTGAGCTCTTCTAGGAATTCTTTTTGAGTCTGAGACCAATTCATATTTTTCTTTGAGGGCTTTGAATGTAGCAGTTTGGACTATTTTTGTCTTCTAAGTTGTGTTTTGATTTTCCTTGTCAGGTTATTAACAATCTATGGTCAAGATCTTCTGTTTGTTTGTTTTTCACTCATTTTCCCAGCCTGTTTCTTGACTTTTAACTTTATGTTAACATTGGGCTCTGCTCTCTGGGTGTCAGGGGCTGTATCCCAAGCTTCAGGTTTTTTGTGTAGCTGTTTTCTGAGACGTCTGTAAGTTTTTAGTTCTTATAAGGTGGTATGATCTAAGGAGAGGTGTGTTTACTACTCTCCTGGCCTGTGCTGTGGTCTGTGAGTAACTACAAGCACTCTTTTCTGCCCTGGAAATATGACCAGGGTCCCTGCTCCTTTGTAGCCACAAGCTCTGGTATGCTAGTGCTCTCTATAACTATGACACTGAGACTCAGGGTTGTGACTTGAATCTGAGTATAGGCATTGCAATGGTCCTGCCCCCAGTGTTAGCAAAGAGACCCATGTGATCTCTTTCTGACCAGTTGTTCAAATCCTTTCCCATCTGTGCTACTGATTTGCTTAGCATACCCCTTAGAGATAATACAATTGAAGGTAGTGTAGCACAATATGTGGCAGGCTCGTTTTTAGTTAGAAAGACCTAGGTACAAGTCCTGTCTGTCACATATTACCTATCAATCCTAGGAAAGTCACTTAATCCCTTAATGCCTTAAGACCCTAAGTTATAGAGGAGTTGATAGTTTGCAATGGTAGAGGGGGTTAATGAAATCATAGGCCTAAAGCAACCGTTAACTAGGTCACAAGCCCTTTGTGAGCAGGTATTCTCTCTTTTTTTGTTTGTTTGTTTTTTGTTTTATGTATCCTGTGGCATATAGCAGGGGGTATTATGATTAGGAATTTTGTAAATGCTCATTATTTTTTTTCCCCATTAAAGTATATAATGGCACTTTAGTCTTTCTTTTTCTTTTTCTTTCTTTTTTCTCTCTTCTTTTTTTATTTGTGAGGCAGTTGGGGTTAAATGACTTGCCCAGAATCACACAGCTAGTGAGTGTTGTGTGTCTGGGGCTGGATTTGAACTCGGGTCCTCCTGACTCCAGGGCCAGTACTCTGTCTACTGTGCCACCTAGCTGCCCCTCGATCTTTCTTAATTGCCCTTGGAATGATATAATTTTTGAAAACTTAACTTGAAAGATTTCTTGATTTTTTTCCCATGTATATTCTAGACCTTTTTTTAAATATTAAAAAATTTTCATATATTCCCAAATGTTGATAGCTGTACTCTTGGTAGCATCTCTTGAAAAAATACATGGTGACCAAAAAGCACCATGAATTCTATAGTACTTTAAAATGAATTTCTGTCTTATTATAACAGCATCTTAACCCATCTGAAAAATAGTAATACATATACATGTGAGACATTATTCAGTCTGTAGAAAGCATTTTTGCATATTATACTGAGAAATTTAATGAAATTTCTGGTACAATTACTTTTGAAAATTAGAAGTCTGGTTGGATTGATAAAAATTTCAATCTTAAATCTGGTTCCACATCCAAGTTGTTTGAGTATTTGTATTTCTGTGATTATAAGTGCAAAAAATCCATTTTACAAATGTATTTTATGGGAAAAGGAATAAGGTACTTCACAGTTTTATCAAATATTTTTGGGGCTTTTGAAGGAATAAGTAACTAGAAGTGAGCCAGATCCTTTTAGATGAAGACTTCCCTCTATGCTTTCCTCCTTTCCTCTCTTCCTCTCTTCCTCCCTGCTCCTCTCCATCTTTTTTCTCCCTATATGGTTCTCACTGGAAATGCAGCAGCCACCCATGGACTTGATCCTGCTTCTGATAAGCACAGGAGCTCTCACTTAATCCATTTCTGCTATGGGCTACTTCTTCGCTCCTTAGGCAGTCTGGTACCCCCTTCTCTCACTCTCAGGGAATCACATTATTTGGTGCTGTGCTGTGTGTCTACACCTGATTGGCTAAGTCCCCTGCAGCTTAGAACTTTCATGCTCTAGTGATCCACCAGCTTTAGCCTCCACAGTAGCAGTGATTACTGACCTGGGTTACCATGCTTAGCTGTGAAGACTAGTGTTATTTTAGTTTTTTAACATTATATTACATATTTTTTTAATCAGTAAAAATCTATCTTCTCTGCCACCTCTTCTTTTCCCTACATTGAGAATGAAAGAAAAACAAAGCCCCCGGTATCAATATATATAGTCGTATGAAACAGATTTTCATTTGGCCATGTCTAAATACACACACACACACACACACACACAGACACACACACACACACACACACACACACACCCTTTCCTTCTTCACTGTGAGTTTTTTACCTTGTAGCATGTTCCATCATTACTGTTCTGGAATTGTGGTTGGTCATTATACTTTTCAGTTCCTAATTCTTTTGAAGTTGTTTGTCTTTACCATATTGTCATCTTTATATAAATTTTTCTCCTGGTTCTGTTCACTAGTACATATATGTCTTCATAGGTTTCTCAGAAACCATCTCCTTCATCATTTCTTTTTTTTTTTTTTGGCTAAGCAGTGGAGTTAAGTGACTTGCCCAGGGTCACATAGCTAGTAATGGTTATGTGTCTGAGGCTAGATTTGAACTCAGGTCCTTCTGAATCCAGGGCTGGTGCTCTGTCCACTGCACCACCTAGCTGCCCCTGCCTTCATCATTTTTTAAAGCATAATCATATTCTATTACATTTATATATTACGATTATTTCCAAGTTTATGGGAACCCCTCAGATTCCCATTCTTTGCTAGCTCAAAAAGAGCTATAAAAATTTTTGTACATTTTTGTGATTTGTTTTGCTTAGGACTAATCACTTTCTTAGTCTGCCCTCCCTCTACTCTCTCCTTGTGCCTTCTCCCCTTTCCCTCATTTCTCTGTTGAATGAAATGTATTTCTGTATCTACCTGTGTGTGTTTTCCATCCCTCCGTTGACTAGTTCAGATGAGAGTAAGGTTCAAGCGTCAGCCTCTCCCCTTCTACTTCCTCATCCTTGTTTGAATTAATGTCTACTTGCATACCCTGGTTTTATGAGAGAATTTTCGCTAACCTAATTTCTTCCACCGGCTTCCTGCCAAGTGTATTCTTTCCCTGCCTCCGTTTCTACATTTTTAAGATCTTCAGCACATGATAGAACTACTCCCAGCCACTTCTGTCTAATTAGACTCCCTCTGTGACCTCTAATGATGATAAGGTTCACAGGGAACATATGTATCATCTCCCCATATTCAAATATAAGAAGTTTATTCTTGTTTAATCTCTTATGATATTTATTCACTTTTACCTTTCTATATTTCTCAACTCCTGTGTCTGAGCTTCAGAGTTTCTATGAGGTTTCTTTTCTTTTCATCAGGAATTCTTGGAAATCCTCTATTTCATTTAAAAGTCCTTTTTTTTTTTTCCATTTTAGGATTATATTTCTATTTGTTGGGTAAGTAATTCTTGGCTGTATGCTTGTGTATCCTTTGCCTTCTGGAATATGGTATGCCAAGAGCTCCACTTTTCTATAGCCTTCTGTAAACTGCTAGATTATGTGTGATCCTGATTGTGGCTACTTGGCATCTTTCTTTCTGGCTGCTTTCAGTGTTTTTTTTTTCCTTTGACTTAGAACCTCTTGATTTTGTCTAATATTCCTAATTTTCATTTTGGGAATTTATTTCAGGAGGTCACTGGTGGATTCCTTTTATTTTCACTTTGTCCTTTGGTTCTAAGAGGTCTAAGCAGTTTTCTTTTTAAGATTTCTTGAAATAAGATATCTAGGTTCTTGTTTTGATCATGGCGTTCAGGTAGTTTGTTTCCTCAATCTGTTTTCCAGGTCATTTATTTTTCCATGAGATATCCTATATTTTCTTCTATTTTTTTAAAGTGTTTTGACTTTGTTTTAATATTTCTTGTTGCCTCCTAGAGCTGACTTCTGTTTGTTATTGCTTGAGCAAGGTTTTGTACTTCTTGGGCTAAGCTATTAATTCTTTTTCTAATCCTTCCATAGCTCTCTCTCTCTTTTCCAGTTTTTCTCCCAATAATCTCACTTAATTTATAAAAGTACTTTAACTCTTTAGAAAAAAACCAAAAAACTCTTGCTTCATCTCTTCTAGGAATTCTAGTTGAATTTGTGCCCAGGCTGGTTTTTTTTTTTCTTATAAGGCTTTGTAGATGTTTTGGAGTCATTCTTTTCCACTGGGTTTGCATCTTCAGTGTTCTTATTACCATAATACCTTTTTATAGTGGGATTTTTTTTTTGTTTGCTCATTATTCCAGACTACTTCCTGACTTTGGACTTGATGTGTACAGTGGAACTTTGTGGCACTTCTGGACAGAAGGTCTGAGCTGGTTCTCTTGCTGCTTTTTTGGGGACATTTAGTGTTCATTGTTTCAGGATCTCAGGGACAGGCTGGGAACCTGCAAGCTTTCAGTGTTCCCAAAAAAGGTCTGTTCCAGGTCATAGTCTGATTGTTACTCTGCCTGGTCTGAGCTCTGCACGTTTTTGACCTGGGTTTGGGTCTGAGCAACAGAAGACTGATGCTAGACTCAGCCACGTCAGCTAGAAGGGAAGGTCTACTGGTTCAGAGTGATAGAACTGCTGGCTCCTCTTTGGTCTGGGATTCCGGCCTTGGTTATTCCTCTGCAGGGTTCAGACTAGGCTGAAGGCTGGAACTGAGCCCCTGCTTGGCTTTTGGGATCTGGGAACCATTGCTGCTACTTGCTTCTGAACTTATTTCTCTTTTAGTATACAGCTCAGGGGTTAAGATTGTTGGGAGTTGGGGAGGAGTGGAAGTAGGTACCCTTGTCAGTCTGCCCTAGGTCTGGGACCAGGAACTGGGTAGTGAGCAACAAAGTTGCCTGTTCACACCTGCCCTGATCTCAGTGCCCCAGTACAAGTCTGGGACCTCTTCTTGCCCTGGTGATCTTTGCCTGGGTGCTGGAATGTTCTGCATGGCTTCTGGCCATCCCATCCTCAGTGTCTGCAGAACTCCCTGTGTCTCTATGCCAGCTTGGTCTGGAACATGACTAACTGTGACTGTCTTGGATTCCTCATCAGGATTCAGTCAGGTGCATTTTCTAGATCTGTTTGAAGGAGATTTTTTTTCCTGGGGACAAGGGGAGATGATAGAGCTTACTATAATACTTCTTGCTACTCTCCCATCTTGCTTTTGCATCTTCCATGAAGACATGTTTTAAAGAGTTATGACATGAAAATTTTTAGTGTTTTTTTTTCTTTTGATGTCAGATATGGGACTATGGCATTATTAATATTCACAGAAGGGTTGCTGATCATTCATGTCTTCACTCAGGAACTCATTGTTTATTATTCACATTTTGTTGGCACTAAATAATGACCTTAGTGATAACAATGCTTTGGTATTTATACTGATTTGAGGGCTTCTTCCAGTAATTACTCAGTCCCTTTGTAGGGAACCACTAAGGTAGATACATATGTAAAATGTAGGCTGATATTAATACAGTGTATTAAATGTACTATTTTTCTTACTCTTTTTGTTTTCTTTCTTACTATTTATATTTCTCTCAAAAATATTTCTAGAGAGGCTGGAAATAATGTTCAGTACATTTGGAGCTATTATTCAGTAGCTGAATTGAAGAAGATGATGGATGCATTTGATACTTGGGAAGGTGAAGGTATGATATCAATGATTTTTTTCCATAGTGGCAGTTAAACTTTTCTTAGAACCACAAAGTGTGTTTTAGTAGTATGGTGCTTCTGTTAGGGAAGTTCTCTGAATGTGTCCAGCAAGCAATTTTCAGACTGTTCAGGATAATATGCTGAGGTGGTTTAGTTCTAAGGCCATGTGTCATGAGTTGCTAGTTGTCATTATTAGCCTATTTTTATTACCTTATTGTGCAGTTCAGTGCAGCAATTTGTTTTGGTTTTTGAGTAGCAGCTGTGTATCTAGAAGTATGCTTAAAATTCAGTTCAAAGAAGAAAATAATTTGAAGAAGGGAGGAAAAAGTCATGTGTAGTTGAATCTAGAGAATGTGATCCAAAGCCAGTTAATATTCCAATTTGTAAAACATATTTTTGAAATTAGATTGTTTTTTAAGAGGATTCATCAAAAATTAATTTTAATTGATACATTTTGTTTTTGAATTCACTTTTTTTTTCCAAATGTGCCCTTCCCTCTCCCCTACCTAGCAAAGCATCTGTTATACCAAAGAATAATGAAGAGGGGAGAAATTGAGTTGAGCAAAACAGACCATCACATCAACCAAGTCTTACTGTATATAGTATTCCACATCCTTAGTTCCTCAGCTCTACAAAAAAGGGCAGGAGGAGCATTTCCTCATTTCTTCTGGGCTTAGTGTGGTCATTATAATTGCACAGTGTTTAGTTTCCTTTTTTTGTTGTTGTTCTTTCCATTGTTGTATATAGTTTTTCTGGTTCTACTTACTTTACTATGCATCAATTCATATATATCTTCCCATGTTTCTCTGATTTCTTTATATTTATAATTTTTTATGGTACAATAAATATTACATTACATTCTTGTATTTTTTTTTAACCATTCCCCAATTTATGGGAATCTCTTTATTTCCAATTCTTTGTTACTTGTGCTGCTATGAATATTTAAATGTTTATTGGACCTGTCTTTCAGTTTTTTGACCTCTTTGGGGGTTTATGCCTGCCAATGGGATCTCTGGGTCAAAGGGTACTGATGTTTTAGTCCTTTTTTAAAGCAGAAATTCGAATCGCTTTTTAGAATGCTTGGATCAATCCATAGCTCCAACAGTGTATTAGTATGCTTATCTTTTTGTAGCTGCTCCAACATTGGTGCTTTGTATATTTTATTCTCTTTAGAAATTGACTGTGTGTGAAGTAAAACTTCAGAATTATTTTGATTTGCACTTCCTCTTATTATTGATGATTTGGAATAATCTTTCATATGATTGTTCCTGGTTTGCAGTTCTTTTGAGATCTGTTTGTTCATCCTGTTTGATCACTTAGGATTTAGAATTCTAAAAAAGATCCTGGCCTGGTTTTCCCTTTTAACGATTGGGAAGTAGTAGGCTGATCAAGGGGAATCATTAATGAACAAAAGGAACTTACTGTCTTTACAATATATAATATAATTGAATCTTAACTCTTACGTGTATGCCCATAGAAAATGGAACAAATGTGTTAGTGGTTCTTCCTGTCCACTTCTGTGCTTTGGTATGTGGATGGTAGAACAAAAGGAGCGTTCTATGTATACTTTTTGAAGAGCTAATTTTATTTGATATTCCTTGGGGAAAGAAACTAGAACTGCATTTCCATTGTTTTATGGAACTTCTGGATGATGAAATTTTCTCTATTAATGCAGGTTGGCACTTTCTGTGTAATTTTTGGTCTTAGAGACTTTGCCTAATGCCCTACAGCAGTATGTGTCAGATTCTGAGGCCAACTCTCTATCTTCTCTGCCATGCTATGTCTCATATTCCTTACTCTTAGGAAATATTCAAATATTTTCATAGAGGCTACATGTTTTATGCTGAATTCCTGTCCCCTTTCTTCAGTGATTACTATAAAATAACATTTATGGTATTTCCCTTCTAGATAGAGATTGATAATAGTACCTTATGGCAGTCTTTTTGATGGAAAGGACCTTAAAGATCCTCTGGCTCAACTTCCTCATTTTGTAGAGTGGACTGAGGCCTAGAGAGGGCAAATGATCTGCTCAAGGTGGCACAGTGTCAGAGCTGGAATTTGAACCCAAATGTTCATAATCCTAATGCAGTGTTCTTTCTGTTGTGCCAGCCTTCCTCTTCCTAATGATTTGGTTGTAAATCTGTTGTGAGATTTACATTTATATATTTGTGCTTCTGTTATAGTAGAATGTGTGAAATTAACAATTCCGCTTGATCTTATATGGCTTCATGATGCTGAGTATTTCAATATAGGATCTCATTGTAATGTTTTCTTTTGTACTGTAGGTGTTAGCTACTGGCGTGTTCCACAGGAATTGATAGAATGCTGGACTCTTGAAGAGCGACCTTTACAGGGAAATTTTCATCACATGGCTCCAATTAGAAAAAGGTTATTTGCTTTATTGATTGTTCTTCACCATCTTGGTCAAGGATCTACATTTTTATTGTTTTTTTAAAAAGAGAAAATAATCCTTGTTTCTCTTCAGATAAGTTCTGACATGACTGAAATATAATTTGTGTTTTCCCTTATTATCTTTTAGACTTTTTGATATTCATTACTAAATTACCTATGTTCTATCACGTTCATTTAGATTTATTTTAACTGAACAAAATTTGGTCCACCTCCACTAAAGTTCAGGAAAAGGAAAAAGAGAGTATTGGAAATCAGGACAGAGATTTAAAGATCAGATTTAAGGATAGATTCAAACATGAAATGACATAACATATGCGAAGCGCTTTGTAACCCTTAGAGTGCTGTATAATTGCTAGCTATTATTATTAAAGATACGTTAATTCAATTGTTTTAAAAAGTCACATAACTATAATTGCATCTTATTTTTATGGAGTATTTTATAGTGCATCGCTTTATGTATACTGTATCTTCTGGTATGTATAACCACAGTCTTGTGAAATATATACTACAAATACTATCGTTCCCAGGTTATATATGAGGAGCTCAGAAAAATAAGTGATTTGCCCAATGTCACAAAGCTATTAAGAGACAGAGCTGGGGATTCACCTAGATCTCCATACTCTAAGTCCTATGTTCCCTCTACTCTCTCCTGCCTCAATAATAAGATTTATATCCTAAATTTTTTTTAGCAAATAGTATTTTATTTTTTTCAATTGCATATGAAGATAGTTTTCAACATTCATTTTTTATAAGATTTTGAGTTCCAAATTTTTCTCCCTTTCTTCCATCCCCCCTCCCCAAGATGGCAAGCAATCTAATATAGGTTATACATATGCAATCATGTTAAACATATTTCCACATTAGTCGTGTTGTGAAAGAAGAAACATAACAAAAGGGGAAAAGTGTGAAAACCAAACAAAAAAAAAGGAAATAGTATGTTTCGATCAGCATTTAGACTCCATAGTTCTTTCTCTGGATGTGGATAGCATTTTCCATCATGAGTCTTTTGGAATTGTTTTGTTCTGTCCTAAAATTTTAATGTCATTATTTTGGGTGTCATATACTGGCACTTATTTTAATAAATACATTTATTTGTAAGTATGTACTCTGTAATCTGGGAAGGTATTTAAACAGTATACCTATGTATTCTATTTATCATTGCAATAGATGAGAATCAGTGTTAGCTTACTGGATAGAAGGCTACTTTGCCACCAGTAAGATTGGGTTCAAGTTCTGCTTGTGAAAAACACTAGTTGTGTATTCCTGGCCAGGTCACTTCAACTGTCAGTGTCCCAGGCAGCTCTCTAGGACTCCTAAGTTTCATATCATGTGATAGCTACCATTTATGTAGTACTTCCAGGTTTTCAAAATGTTTTGCATATGTTATCTCATTTGATCCTCACAATGACCGTATAGGAGGTAGGTGCTATTATTATCCCCATTTTATAGGTGAAGAAACTGAGGCAGAGAGAGATTAAATGACTAGCCCAGGGTCACACAGCTAATAAGCATCTGAGGCAGGATTTAAACTCAGGTCTTCTAGACGCTGGGTACATAACAAACTATCATGATTCTAGTTGCCTGTCTGTATGGGTGGTGGAGGTTCCCCACACCAGTTGAATCATAGGTTTGGAAATAGATATAAAACTACTGCAAAAGAGGCCATACAGCTTTATGGAAATTGAGTTTGATTTATTTAAACTAGGTCTGCAATATAGTTTTGATAGAAGAATATGTTGGGGTTTTTTTTAATTAAAGATTCTGACACAGTGGAAGTTTAGGTGAGTGATTTTTTTTTTTGTATGTACATGAAAAACCTGGTCATTCATATCTGTTGGATTATACATATGTAGGATAATTTTTTCATCTTGAATACTGGAAATTCATAGTGATGTATCCTGAAATATTCTTTGCTTCTATCATCAAATAGTTCAAAATTTTTTATTTAGTAGGATTTTATGAGTGAATAAATTATCTGTTTAAAAATTAGCATTAGATCTACTCTCATACAGCTCTGAGTTCAACTGTATTTAAACCATTTTTATGTGTTTTTCCTCTGGTTCTGAGCTAGATGTCATCTGGTTCTGTGAATGCTGTTCTTCACATTTCCGAATTTCTTGATCACTTAGTATAGTGAGATTTCTGTTTCTTTTAGTATCCTTTAAGGTTTTGTCTGCCTTCTAACATCTGCTTTCTCTGTCTTTCACAGATGTTCAGAGAGGATTTATTTCAGATCTGTGTTAGCTCTTTTTTCCATATATGATATCTCCCATTTCTTAGAGCCTCTTTTTTTTCTTTACTCTGTGTTTTTGAACATGCTTTCTAAAATTAGTAAATTATTAGAAGGTCTAAGTGCAGGGGTGGGGAACCTGCAGCCTCAAGGCCACATGTGGCCTTCTGGTTCTTGGGTGCAGCCTTTTGATCATAGTTTTACAGAACAAGTGCTTTTATTAAGGGAATTTGTTCTATGAAGTTTGGATTCAGTCAAAGGGCCTCACTCAAGGCAACAGGTTCCCCACCTGCTAGGGGCAAAATAATGAAATCTGCGGTATAGATAAGTAAAAAGAAAGTCAGTAGGGCTAAATTTTAGGGTGAATGTATATTATGCTATATCCAAGTGTTCCATTCGCTGGGATTAACCTCTGACCAATTCATAATGATGAATCTGGAGTTGTAGAAAATTCTGAAGTTCCTCCTGAGTCATCAGAATATTTTTATGTTATATTTATCATAGTTCTTAGTATTAATTATATTTTAATATTTTCTGATTTTTTGAGCATTGCCAATTCATACATGATATATGTGGTAATTTTATTAACCAGAGTATTTAATTAACTAGATTCATTCCTGACATTTCCAGATAACAGTTTACTCTTTATCTTCTTGTGTTTTAGAAGCTAATTTTGTTTAAGTATAGTAAATACAATATAGCAAGAAAGTATTATATGTCTGTTTTGTGTAGATCACTATTCTAGGCTTGGAGTAGATGGAGAATCAATATAAAATGTAATCCCTGCTCTTAAAAAGTTTATAGTTTAGTTAATTTAGTTGAAAGAGTTAGAGGTTTGATCTAATATCTGATAAGCAATTACTTCATATATAGGAAGAAATTAATAGAGTAAAAAATGTTTCTAAAAGAAGGGGAAGAGAAACTAAATACAAAAGAAAGTGAAGAAAACAGTGGGAAGACTAGGCATACAGCAGTAGGTAGCTGTTTTCTACCTTTTTGGTCTTGCTTTTCTTGTTCCATTTTTGGTTTTCTGATAAACCTTATTCTTAGTTTATTATCTTTCCCAAACTTGTCTGATATTTCCCTGAATATCATTGTGTAGTGGAAAGAGTACAAAGGAAAGATTCTGAGAAGTACTTGAGTTCTGGCTCAGCCACTGAACTGGTCAAGGATGAGTCATATGGCCTTTCTGAATCTTGGTTTCCTCATCTGTCAATTAAGACTAATTGATAATTGCTGCTCTTTGTATAGCACTCCATAATTTATGATACTCTCTCCTCCCAACAGTCCTGAAGTCAGTAAGTAGTCTGAATGTTATCCCCATTTTACACATGTGGAAACCAAGGCTCTGAGATGTGAAATGATTTGTCTGTGGTTATAGAGCTTGCCTCTATCAGCAAGTGGAAATTGAACTCAAGTTTCTTTTGACCTGAGTCTAATGTTCTCTACTTCATACTGTATTGCTTCTTCAGTCATTTTCAAATGTTTTTTAAGGTCCTTTCCATCTCTGACTCACCATAATGTGTGATTCTGTTGTATATCTCACCATACCATGGGTTTGGTTCAATTGAGGATCAAATCCTGTTTCAGGTATGTAGTGATGTATTTTGTGTTCTTTCAATTGAACAGCAGACTGAGTAGCCTCTTTGTTCCCCTATGCCAGTTTCAAAATTAAGTTGTTTATATTGTTTGAAATTTGTCATTTAAAACAACATTTCTTTTTTTTTTCTTTTTGGTGAGGCAATTGGGGTTAAGTGACTTGCCCAGGGTCACACAGCTAGTGAGTAAAACATGTCTTATAAAAGTAATGACCGAGTTATTTATGAGATTGTTAACTTTATTTAGTGTGTTTGGTTTTATACAGGAGATTAGCTTTACCAATTTTCAAAAAGTTTTTGGGCTTGAAAGGAACCTTTTTGTTTAGCCTGAAGATTAACTTTGGAGACATTAATTGATTACTGTGGGTTGTGTAAAATCTTGAAGATGACAGTCCTTTATATTTACAGGCGCTTGATAGCCTTGAATGAGGAAGAAGAGGATGGTGTGAATTGTAAAGCAGGACCTAAACCCATTAGATTTTTGGGTCCTTCAACAAGCACACATATCAAAGTCAAGAATTCTGCTTCAGTAAAGGTGATTACATCTAATACTTCAAAAACCTCTTCCCAGATGACAATTAAGCGGCCCAGTAGTGGCAGTCAAAATTTAGTTGGATGCCATGCAGTGTCAAAAACCATACCTGACCCTGGCATTTCTTCAGTGGCTGTGAATTCACAAACACCCCGTGAAACTGGAAGTGCAGAAAATGGTGAAACACATACGTCTCCAGTGAAGACTTCCCTGTCAGAAAAGAAGCCTACCGCCACTCGAGTGATCAAACTGAAGCGGACTCCTCTGTGTACCGTAACACCTCACTTGTCCTCCCAAGGAATGAATAAAACAAACCACCCCGAAACCTCGTCTGCTGAAATGCCCAATACTTCCAGTGTGTGGGCTCAAAATGTGAAGAATGAGAATAACTAACAGTAACCAGGGTGGAATTAAAATTTCTTGTCTTTATTTCTTAGAACTTCTAACCTGTATGGTACAATGAAGTTAATAAGTATCTTTTGATACAGTAGTCATGGAAACTACAAATTTGAGAGTTACTGGGGAGTTTGTGGGCAATAGGAGTTTTGACTGAAAGATTAAATGGTTAGGACTGATAGGTTGTTTTTGAAATTTTGCAGCATTTAGTTTATACATAGGCATAGTTGTGAATCTCAAATTTTAAAAGAAGTGATGAATTTGTTTTAATTTTTTTATGACACAAAGGCAAGAAAGCAGCTTAGCAAAGTAGTCATCAGATAATCTTTGTCCTAACTACTTCAGGCAAAAAAAAAAAAAGGTAAATCTAAACTTTGGGACTAGAGAGCACTTTCATATTTTCATATTTATTGAAAGCCAGGGCTTGGAGTATGTCACAGTCTTAATGGACAGCAGTTGATATCTATATTACTATATTCTGTGTTAGTTAAAAGATTGGAGAATAAAATGTAGAACCCCTAGTTTGGTCAAGTGGAAATAACCCCCATTCAGTCTAGGCCATATGACAGGAAAATATGGGAAGGGAGGACATATAAGACAATACTTTGAGATCATATCTTGACTCTTCAAATTTAAAAGAGCGTTCTCTCTCTCTCTCTCTCTCTCTCTCTCTCTCTCTCTCTCTCTCTCTCTCTCTCTTTCTCTTTCTCACTCTCTCACACACACACGCACACACACACACACAGCCTCTCTTACTACTTTCCTTTTACAAATCTGTTTGGATTTAATGTAAGGGGAATTATTAGGGCATAAATTATAGGGTACTTCTTTAGAATGATTTGATAAGAGGTTGTTTTCTCTTATTTTGGTTAACAGGAATTTTTTTTTTTACATTTTGAAAGCTCTTTGAAACAATAGAAGTTGGAAGTTTAACTGTCTTTTAAAATAAAGCTAATATTTTTCAAAAAATGACCAAACACTAAAAGAAGGCACTCATTACACAACATAATTTGTATGCATATAACTTTCCACATGGGAAAATGAATTTAAGATTTTTTTACAGAATATTTGGATTAATCATCTATTTTTCCATGAATATTCAGTTGCATATATTTTACCTTTTACATTTTTTATTTTATATCTGAACTCTTTCTACCTTCAAGGGATAGTATGCCTTTTGTGTTTTTAAAACTGATTTCATAAAACAATACTTTATACTTCACTACTCATCAGAATACTTGGATTGATCTGAAAGAATAAGCTAAAGATCCTTAAGAGGACTAATTTTACAAAAATAAAATAAAACTTTTCCAGAAAAAGAAATTGTGATGATTTTTTTGTGAATGTGCATTTTCCTAGGTCTCACTGCCCTTTGATAGTAATCACATTTGCAGTTATGTAGATTTCCTTTTGACTGAATAATGCAGAAATTTATTAAACATAAATAGAGAAGTATGCTGTCACAATCGATTATATTTACATATGCCAAAGCCTTTGAATTGGAGTTTTTGTGGCCTAGAATTTTTCATAGGTGTGGAATGTTGAAGATCTGTGACAATAGTGCCACAGAGTAACAGTCTCCCATATTCTATATGTTTAAAGTATCCAGCCCTTGAAAAAATTCAATTGGTTTCAAATACTATTGAAAAAATATTACGTCAGAATATAGGTATTCATACCTTTAAAGAATATATTGAGTTCTCATATTTATCCAGAGGGTCCAGTATTGGGAGATAAAGGTAAATTGTATTGTTGACAAGTTGTCAGTTTGTTTAAGTAAAGGCAACTAGCAGCTGTGTAGAAGGGCTTTTGCTTATAAGACAAAAGATATTTGAATTGTTTAACAGTCCGGTACTTTTTTTTGGTTAAATATACGGAATGAAACCAATTTAGCTTAACCCTTTATTTGGATTTCTTTGAGAATTTGATTTGGGGCCAAATGTAAAGGAAACTGAAGATACCATGATTGGGGAGAGAGAAGTTAAAACTGGTGCCAGGAAATGAGGTCAAATGGAGGGTGCTGGTCTTACTAAGCTTTTTTTTTTTCCTATCTTGACATGATCATTAGTTTCATAAACAAAACAAAATAAATTCCCATGACAGCAAAGTACAAAGATCCTTAATTAAAATCTGATAAAACTTCACAAATGTAAATACCTTTACAAGGGAAAGTAGGTAAGCTTGTGGATAGCTTGATATAGTCTGCTGTTCCTGGGAAAATGACCTGAAAGCACGTCTTATAGATTGTGGGTTATTGATATTTTTGCTTTGCATGTTTCTCCAGTACCCTTGCAGTTGGTCAGGTAATGGAATCTGTAATAATGACGTGCATATGTCAGTGTCCTTCAGGCCAAAAATAATCTTAATTTACCTTGTTTTCTTCATGGAATCTATATTTTGAGGAATGATTTTACACAGATGAAAAAAAAAGACCTCTTCCATTGGAGGAGAGGATTTGGAGTTAGCCAAAAAAAGTTAAGAAAACCATAGTAATTTTTGGTATATTGAGGTCTGACCTTAAGTTGGATTTAAAGTATATTATATCAGTTTAGTAAAAAAGACTGAAAAGAGTATGCTTACCAAGATTAAAAAATTCATTTTTGAGTTGCCAAAAAAAAAAAGATTGCAAATTATTACCAACATGGTCCTTAAATTGTTCTTTATAAATCAAAGCATCTTTAATTGAAGTAATTACAACAAATAGCTGTACAACAGATTAAAAAAAGAAATGCTGTGCCCAGTGTAAACTAAGTGGAGGAATTAAAGTAGATAAAGTTGGATGAAGAAGATAGATAAATTTTAACTAAGTTCTGGTTATAAGCTGACCCAGTGAATTGTGTTGATTCAAACTGGTGTTCGAGTCAGGTCAACACAACAACACATCTCATAGAATGAAAACATTCCAGTTTTAGACTCATTGTCTAGAGCATTGGGCAAGGAGTTTTAGTATACTTGAATTCTAGTAGTCTGGTACCCTGTGCAGTGCAGATTTTCCATTTATTAATTGGGAATTAGATACTTATTTAGTGTCTCCTGCAAAGGGGAATAGAAGGAAATATCTTTAAAAAGTTTGCAGTATGGCTAGGGAGATGACAATTGAACAGTTACAGACAGGCAAAAAGTAAATTCCAAATGACTAGTATGAACAATAATTCCTACAGGGATTAACAGCAAGGAAAAAATCACTTCTACCTGCAGGTAGTTAGGGAAGGTTTCACTGAAGAGATGAGATTCTAGCTGGCCATTGCAGGATTGGAAAGGTTTGTAGAAACAATGGGGAGGAAGGACATTTCTTTAGGGAGCATGGCAGTAGCAATGACAAGGAGCTGGAAAGACATGAGCTATATTCATAGAAAGGTGAGTACTTGTTCTGAGGCAGAGGGTTTGAGTGGTAAGCAGTAAGTGTGGGAAAGGCTAGGGCCAGAGACAGAGGGCCTTATATGTCAGGCTAAGAAGTTTGAACTTTTATTTTGTAGGCAGAGAAATGATGAAAATGAGTTTTGAGGATGAATGTGACAGTGGTTGGATTGGGATTGGGGTAAGGCAGCTATATATCTACGTAATTGTAAGGACCAATGGCATTTATATGTGATAGTGCTTTATTATAACTTTTGCCAATTACTATAATTACTACTAGTAAGAATTGATACATAACTAATGCTCAGATGTCATTTTCCCCCCATGTTGTTTAGAGTCATGTAGAGACCTCTAAAGCTTCATCACTACATCTCAGTGAGGTAGGTAGGTGACTTATAGGCCTGATTTATTGATGAGAAACTGGGACCTGATACTTCTAGCGACTTGCCTGCAGGCCATTCAGTGTGTCATATTCCCTATAATAATCATGGAAGCTTAGGCTCTTGTCTTAGTGGCCTTCCCACAGAGGCGATTTATTTATTCACAAATTAAACCAAGTTGCATTGTTTTGATGCTCAAAAAAAATTTTCAGGCTTCCCAGGCTCTACTTAAATAAAGCTGAGAGAGAATGACTGTGTAAGTATATCTTGCTTTATCCAAAAACAAAAAGTTTCAAAAATTGTAAAATCACATGTTAAGTGTACTGAGTGAACTCATTAAGGGAAGTCGTCGTTGGTGAATAACTTTGTAAAGGGAGAAATTGTAGGATTTATGTATATTGTTTACATTGAAACAGTTGGTACATGATCTTGATCTGAATATTCTATTCTGCAAGTTTGTACTTAGTGAAATGAGGAGAGAAAAGCCGTACAACATATGAGAAGAAATATTCTAAATGACATAGCTTTTCCAGGCATTGTGCTTATCAGGTAACTAAGAATTTTTAAAGGTGATGGTGAGGTTTTTTCATATATATGTTTCTATGCTTCTAAGTATTGAAGTCTATTCCAGATGGTGTATTTTAGTTGTCTAAGAACTTTTAATAATGATGGCAAGGTTTTTCCATATGTATTTATATACTGAAACTATCCATTGAATATCATCAATTAAATGCTGTATGTTCTTATTGAATAATGAATGAATGATTCTTTAAGTTGGCTTTGCATTTAGTACGTAGAATTTTGAACATTCAGTATAGTCAAAAGGAAACATGAATACCTAATGAAAAAAATTACTTTGTTTCCAGCTGTTTCCAGAATTCAATATTCATAGAATTTGGATGATGATGCAGTCTTTAGTAAAATGAAGGCTACATTTTCAGTTGCATTCTTGTCAAACTCTTGAGATACATACAGTACATATTGCTATAGAAGACCTAATTTTTCTTTGTTACAGTCTTTCTTCAACATATGTTGCCCTAAGTAGACCATACATATTTAAAATTTTCTACATTGAAAGTTGAAGCAGGCAGCTGCATTTTAAGCCAATAGAATTTCATACGAACTATCACTCAGTGTTGTATACTAACTTGTCTATCTATGTAGTAATGACCTTTTGCTTTTATAGCTTTGTTTTACATCCATTTCCTGTTGTGATCCCAAACCCTACATTCTACTAATAAAACCTTCCTTAGGCATGTAAAACTAGTAAGTATAGTGTCTTAGGAGAGAGGAATTTTTTATATACGTACTGAATATATTTTTCTATCATACATCAAAAATATGGTTTCATCATTATGGATACTGATTCCACTGATGTGTATCACAGCCTCTCCTTGTCCCATTGGTAGGTTCATGAATTACCGTGGGCAAAAAAATCAGGTGACCAGCCTTAGAGTAATGACATTCTGAAAATTTAACTAGGTGGGCTTTTAGATGATAGTTCATAATTCTTAAGTCTTTCCAGTTCGCCAGATCTTATGCTTTCCTGGCATAATTTTTGGGAACCAAGGTCATCCAGTAGAATGTATGCTCCTTGAGGAGTTTTTGCCTTTGTTTCTCCTAGCACCTTGGACAGTGACTTGAATGTAGGTGCTTAATCTATGTTGTTGAATTCAGATGTTCAGGACTGTAGCTGAATCAATGAAGTGCAAGTAGTAGTGGAAGTAGCACTGGTTGTGGAGTCTGCAGGCCTGGGCTGATGTCTTCCCATTGACTTGTGTGACTTTGGGCTGGTCACTCAGCTCCCCATTGCATCACATACATGATCAATGGGATTGGACTAGTTAGCTCCTGATAAACCTTCTGCCTATAAATCTGATATATGGTCATTTTCAATAGGTCAGCAGGGTATGGTTGAAGTATGACAAAACAGGCTTTCACTATTACTCTTGATTGCGTGGCCTGTTTGCCATAGCCCTCAGAGGTTCTGTTTCTGTTCCTGAAGGTTCTCATCCCTTTCTCCCACTCATAGATTGCTCCATGTCTTATGTCCAAGCCCTGTTGGATGAAATACTCTAAGCAAAACAATCTTAGCACCTTCCTCTCTCAACCATTGCTTCCTCTGGTTCAGCAAGTGAATGAGAGGGAAGACAGCTAATGGTTTCCAGTGAGCAAGGGAGCAAGGTTGGTATTTTAAAGATGCAAATGAAGGGAGAGAAAGGAGTCTTGGGCCTTTTAAAATGTATTGTTAAAGGCTGCACTTAAATTTCTGCCTTCTGTGACACATCAGATACTGTTTCATGAACATTTATGGCAAAGATGCTACACAGATACGTTCTCTATCCATATCACTCCTTAGTTATGAGCTAGAGAGGACTTAAGGTAATCTTCCTTCCTTCCCCTTTCTCCCCTTGCCTTTTAAAAAGGTAAGTCCTTTCAAAAACCCAAAGCTAGAGATGATCCTCCTCTCCTCAACTTTCTTCTGGCACTGTATTCTTCTTTACACTTATCACAACCATGCCTTGTCTTATAGTTATTTCTGTATGTCATAACTTCCTGAGATTGTAAATGAGGGAAGGGATTGTTGTCAAACTTCATTTTTATATCCTTAGCCCATGGCATTGTTCATTGAGCATAGGAGATGCTTAATAATATGTTTATTGGATTGGATGGATGGGGGGTCTCTCTTCTCTGGAGTTAGTGCATGGGTTCATTCTAATTGAACTCCAGCTTTTTACAAGCCTTCAAAGTCTTTCATAAAGGTTTTTGAAGAAACAGAACTTGAAAGTGGGCTAATCACTTTCTTCTGTGTGTGATTTTTGGCAAAACTTTAAAAAATGTGTTATGTCAGAAGTCTAGGAAAAAGCCTTGTGTTATTGAGGCTTGGAAACCATTAATGTAGACTCTGTTACCAAGAAGTGATTTTTGCGTTCTAATTTTCTGTAAAAATCGTGTGTAGTAGTACTAATTTCGCTTAGTATAGTGATCATCTACAATGAAATAAAATTTCTTCCAGAAATGTATACACTTGCTCTGTCATACTAATTTATTTCATTTCACTTAATTATCCACAAAAGGTTGGCCTAGATGCAGGGGTGAGGAACCTGTGGCCCTCTAGGTCCTCAAGTACAGCCCTTTGAATCCAAACTTCACAGAACAAATCCCCTTAATGAAAGGATTTGTTCTGTAAAACTTGGACTCAGTCAAAAAGCCACGCCCGAGGACCTAAAAGGCCACATGTGGCCTTGAGGCCACAGGTTCTCCACTCCTGCTAGAAGATCTTTAAGGTCACAGCCCCTTTCCAATGATCTTTTGAAGATCCAGTTCCAAAATGGTGACATTTTCTCTTTTGAAACTTACTTGATGTTATTAAAATTTACTTTCTTTGGAATACTGTTTTATCACATAAAAGAGCTATTCCTATGCTTTTGTAAGGATTAGAGTCCACAATCCAAAGGGCTTATGAAAACTGATTCTCCAAACAAAATATGATGAAAATATGCCATGAAAGAACTAATTTATCTTTTAAGAATAAGTTGTTATAATAAGATTTACATGAAAGGTTTTTCTCAAAAAAAAAAATTCTGGAGTCTTCCCAAAGAGCCTTTATCTAGATGACTGCTTCAGTAGCACAGTCCATGACCATAACAACTAAGAATCAGTGAGTTACTGAAACTAAAGTAAAAAATGGACACAGGGAACTTCCTTAGTGTGTCAGTGAGATTGATGGCTCAGGGAAGAGGAGGATGGGAAAATGTTACACTATACTATGAAGAATATTAAAATGTGAGTAGATTGAACTCACGAGTGAAGCAATGGGTGAGGCTTAATAATTTAGTTTCTTCATTTTATCTACAAAATTAAGAATTGCAGCTAAAAGTCATCAAGGTTTTTGGTAGTATATTCAAACAATCACTGGCAGACTAGTTTATTCTTTGTTATTAATAGTTTGTGTCATAAATTGGAAAAACAAATACACATCTTTTAGAAATTTCAGCCTTTCAGATTGTAGTTAGACTTAAGCTCCATCAGAGCAGAGATGGTGTCTTACTCATAGCTGCATATTTCCCCAGCACTTAGCCAGTGGATTACACATAGGAAGAGGTGCTTAATGTGGAATTGTATTTTCCCTTTTACCAAATTTTAATTTTGGTTTACCTTTATTTACTTAACGCAAATTTCCCAACTTTTATTTTATGTTTGCTATCATAGTTCTTAGCTATATGCTCTCTTAGTACCAAAACTAAGCAATGGGGATGTAAAACCTGCTACTCTTGATCCACCTATGACTGTTCAGAGCTCCCTGTTGCTTTAGAAACAAGTGGGAAAGGATTACCATCACAAATCGTATTAGCACTCTAACATTCCAATATCAGAGACATATGATGGGACTCTAACTAGCATTATATTCATTCGAATTATTATTAAAGTTTAAAATTTTTTATTATTGTTTTTACAACATTTTGTTGATCAATCTTAGCTGTCTGCTTGATAACCCACGATCTAAGTAAAAAAGCTGACCAGATCTCCACTTTCAACTTTTTGTAGTTTCACTAAGATTAAGTTCAACCCTAAACTTTAAATAGTCGGGAATCACACAGTTAATATCCTGGCCAAGTTGATGTTTAATTATTTTTAGTCTCTGATTTGGTAGCTCTGCCTTAGTCTCCCTTGGATCAGATTCCCTACAGGTACCTCATGGACAAATATGTTTACTGCACTGATGCTAGTATGGGTAATTGACATGTAAACTGAATCCTTTAAAGATATGTTGTTGGATATGTTTGCCTTTTCTTATCCAAACTGTTGTCCTCTAAGAGGAGTGAATTTTGCATTAATTTGTTGAGCCTTAGTGTATTAAGGTTTTTGTGGGTCAGGTTTAAAAGGGTACAGTTTGAACATTAATGTAATAGGAACATGAGTGAAATTCTTGATTCTCTAACTCATTGTAACTGTACCTCAGGGGTAACTTGGAATTCAGAAGACCCATAAATTGCACAGATGTAGCTTTGGATAAAAAGAATCTCTGTTGAATTGTAGGTGAATTATACTGTAATATTTTGAAGGTTTCAGTTTAAGTTTTTCCTGCTCCTCTGCTTCAGACCTCATACCACGCTTTGTTTTGTAACTCAAATGCACTTGTTATGTAATATTGCATGTTTTAGCAATTAGTATTGGTTATTTGATTCTCCCAGACCACAAATTCCATGAAAGCAAGGATCACATCTTATCTAAATTTTACGTCTAGACAGCTTAGTAGCTCAGTGCTAGACTTGGTCAGGATGTAGCCATCTGATCCTGGGCAAGTCATTTAACCTCTGTTTGCTTCAGTTTCCACATCTATAAAATGAAGGTAATAAAGTACTTACATTCCAGACTTACCATAAGGGTGAAGAGAAATAACATATGTAAAGCTCTATGCAAACTTTTAAATGCTATGTAATAGTAATAATAATTTAGTAATTTAATACTAATTTATAAAGTGTTTAAAAGTTAGTAAAGCATTCTACAAATATCTCATTTGATCTTCACAACAACCCTTTATTATCATTATATTATCATCATTTTATTATTATCACCATTTTATGTATGAGGAAACTGAGACTGAAAGATGTTACATGACTTGCCCAGGGTCGCATGGCTAGTGTCAAGAGTCAGGATTTATACTTAGGTCTTCCTGACTTCAAGTCCAGCATTCTAGCTATGATTATTATTATTATTATTCTCCAATGCCTATGATAGTATTCAGTTTACAGCAAGTATTTTAATGCATATTGTTTTCATTTATAGCTTCATAGGTTTTTTTTTTTTTTGGCGAGGCAATTGGGATTAAGTGACTTGCCCAGAGTCACACAGCTAGTAAGTGTCATATGTCTGAGGCTGGATTCGTAGGTATTTTTAAAGGAATTTTTGAATCCTTTGTGAACTAGACAAAAATAAAAATTTAAAGCATCCCTGGACTGGTTGTTGTGGGTTAAAGTTTCTGACATCACACAGGGTGGCAAAGGCTCCCAGGTTCATACGACTAGTTTTTACTATTTGAAGCCATTTAAGGATGTATTTTAATAAAAATAGCTTTTGCATTAAATTGTTGAAGTTACTGTAAGAACAAATTAACATAAGTTTACAAGCTACGGGTTAAAAAAATCAAATCTTAGAATAAATGTAATCAATTATGCTACTTTTCAACATTTCTATATATGCATGTGTGTATACCCATATATGTGTTCATATGTGTATATATGTGTACTTTATTGCAGTTATGAGTCAGTTTTTGCTTTTAATCTAAGGAACTAGGAGAGAGTGGGCTCATACAGTATTGGCAGACACCACTGGCATACATTGCAACCTGTATACATGTGTGCATACCAATACATGTTTATATGTGTGTGTATATGGACTTTATTGCAGTATTAGGAGCCAGTTTTTGCTCTTAATGTAAGGAACTGTAAGAGAAAGTAGGTATATAGGTTTGTGGCAGAAAACACTGGTATATATTACAACCTGGTAAACCCATTTTTTGCCTTGATCCTAGAATTTGTTGATTTATCTTCAAGGCTGAAAATTTTATGCTGCAAAATGCTGATGGTGAGTACATTGTAAGACTAGAGTCTCATTCTACAGAAGTGTAGGGAGACTTGTGTAAAATCCTTCTGTCTTATATGGACTTAGCCCTTCAAAGATTATGACTTGAGGTATGGGAAAACCTGTGGTGCTGGCTATTTTTCTTCTGTGCTTTAATAAACAGTTCTTCATTCTTTGAGTGTGATTTGACACTTTGAATTCCTTTTAAATGTTTGGATGTCCCAGGCGCTTCTAAAAACTTTCTACAGAGAGAGCAAACATTCTCTTGTACTTGGTAAAGCAAGGATTCTGATGCTGTGCTCAGTGCATGATGCTTCTGTGAAGAGAGCTGGTGAACTTGGGATGCTGAAACGCCTGTGGATCACCATGAGCTGAAAGCAAGACGTTATACAAGAAGGTTGACCAGAAAGACCTCTGCATGCACCGAAGTCTGAATGAAGCAGTGTAGTCAGAGCTGGGAAACGATGAGGGGAAGGTCTAATTAAGTGAACCATGAGTTTGTTCAGACTATAGAACTCAATAAATAGACCATTGAGCTTATATCACTGATCAGCTTCCCTTCTACATACCTGGTAGGGTGGCCAAGATAATATGAATTGAGCTGTGTTTCTCTGTGTGAGATATCTTGGTCTACATGAAAGGGGAGTTTATTTTGCAGAAAGTAAGTGAATTCTTCCCAAGCGATATATGTTACTTTGTGTGGTGTCTCAAATGATTAACAGTTTGCCAATGGAGTGTAATGTATAGTGCGTTCAATAAAAAGTAAGCTTGATCTAAGAATATCCATTCACATAAGACCCAAGCAAATGTCAAATGTAGCGATTTTAATAAAGCAATATACATATATAATTTTTCAGAAAACACCAGATGTTAAGTTCTACAAAAGCGCACATCTTGGATCACTTTTGCCTGATCTTCAGGATTTGTTTTGCAACATTAACTTCTCTAAAAACAAACAACAGACTGATACAACTGCTACGACATAATAAAGTTGCTACTGGGCATTTGATCTTTAGTTTACATCTTGATTCTCCTAATGAATGAGTAAATACTGCTTGGCTAAAATGCTGCAATGTCTTGATGAAAAGAAGCTTCAACGCATCAAGCAAAGCCATGAAAGGTATGAAGCAAGCTATAGCTGATTATTAGAATGGGTACAAATTATCAAGAGAAGATGTCTTGACAATATAGGATTTGCATACTCTGATCAACTCTCTTGGCAGCAATTAGATCAGCACCTTGGGCAGGGAACCAAAACTGGGTGAAAGCTGCTTTTCTCTTTCTTAGGAATGATAGTTTAGGCCACCAAAGTCACAGCTGGCACAGAGAGAACTGCAGCATCTGCTGACACTTCTATCCTTGTGGGACAGAGATTACATTGAGTAACCCTAGCAACACTCCCACGGAAAGGCCTGGCCTCAGGGGTGTCTACAGCATGCTGCTTTCGCCTGGGCTTTTCTGAATGGGCCAGGTTCTCAGAGGCCTTGGTTGCCATGGGTTGCTCTTGGTTTTTGGTGATGCCCTTATTTTTCGGCCGGAAGCTATTGTGCTGTTGTCTTCTATGATCATGTCTCGGGTTGCCTTTTATGGGATAATCTGCTTCATTAACGTTGCCTTGTGACTTGGCAGCCCCATTCAGCCTGTTGTTATGATACTGTGGATTAAATCTTCGTCTCTGGCTAGAAGGGCCATTCTACCAAGAAGGAAAACAGATAGCTGTTAGATAGCTTTGGCTTTGTGTTAGCTTAAAGACTCTACAGGGAAAACACCATGAATATCATTAGTCATGACATCTCTAAGTCAACACATATGTTTTTTTCCCTTCTTTTTCCCCTAGAAGAATATGACAGCTTACAAAATCTTGGATCTCAAAGAACAAAACTTTTAGCTGTTGAGCTATATTTAAAGCATAAATCAGACAGATTCAAATAAAGATCTGTATCATTTAGAATGATTAAGTGAAATGTCCCAGGTAAGTATGCTGGTTTAAAACTTGTGAAGAAATTTAGGGAAAAGAGGAACTGTTTTTAGTGGATAATAAGGATTCTGTAAGACCAGGCTTACAAAAATTAATAAGTCAATTTAGCGGATGTAAGAGATACAGCATTATGTAGTTCCAAGAAGCCTTCTTAAAGATAACAAGCAACAGTGCTTTTTTCCCTTTTGACTGAACTTGATTGACATCAATATTAAATTACATTTATTATGCTGTGAAAGTGAGATAGACATTATCTCTCAAGGAGTCACTAAAGGAGCAGGAGGACAGTTAAGAAGACAACACCTTGGAACTGTGTTTAAGGCTTCTGTGTTGTGTTGAATAGGAATGGGGAGGTGACCATTTGCTTATGTGGTGAAGAAGTCATTATAAGAACAGCTCATGTTATTTTGATATGTGATCCTCCTTGAAAATTCTATATCCAAGTCACTTAACCCCATTGCCTAGCCAAAAAAAATAAAAAACATCATGTCGCACTTTGAGGGGCAGCTAGGTGGTGCAGTGGATAGAACTCTGGCCTTGAAGTCAGGAGGACATGAGTTCAAATCCAGTCTCAGACACATGGCACTTACTAGCTGTGTGACCCTGGGCAAATCACTTAACCCCGATTGCCTCACCAAAAAGCAAAAAAAAAAAGAAAGAAAGAAAGAAAGAAAGAAAATTCTATATCCAACAAAAGAAAAATGGGTATGGCTCATAATCCATAAACTAGACATAAATGGGTACAGAATAATCAAATAAAATAAGGTATATGTGGTCCTAGTTACAATCCCATCCTTCATTTGCATGAGCCTCTTTCACCTATGAAAAAGTTTAGAGGCCAAATTATTGTGGTAACTGGGAACTTAACTAATATATATATATAATACATATATATTATATATACATATATATACATATATATATATATATATTATATATATATATATATATATATATATATATATATATATGAATGGATTCTTTGCTAACAGTTTTTTTTCTTTTTTGGTGAGGCAATCCGGTTTAAGTGACTTGCCCAGGGTCACACAGCTAGTAAGTATCATGTGTCTGAGGCTGATTTGAACTCAGGTCCTCTTGACTCTAAGGCTGGAGCTTATCCACCGGGCCACCTAGCTGCCCCTGCTAACAGTTTTTTTCAAATCTATGCAGATACTCTCTTCTCACCACCCCCATCTGTCAAAGCACATATGAAGTTAGGCCTTCTGAATACAGAAAATTCTGGAAAACCCCCATGATGCCAGCCTGCTACATGGAGCTTCAAGGAGACAGGAATAGTGGGAATTGGTCATATCACTTGAAGGGTGAGTTAAGGAGGCAGAGACTGATAGAATTTAGTGTCTAGCAGTTGATACCCCCTCTACCACTAGAAAACATGAGCTAGTCCACTGGATATTAGGTAAATAACTAGATGATACTAGGGGACTTGCAGTCCCTGATGACCTTGACAGGGCAGCTAGGTGGTACTAGAAAACATGAGCTAGTCCACTGGATATTAGGTAAATAACTAGATGATACTAGGGGACTTGCAGTCCCTGATGACCTTGACAGGGCAGCTAGGTGGTACAGTGGTTGGAGTGCTAGGCCTGGAGTCAGGAAGACCTCAGGACAAATCTGGCCTCAGACCATACTGGCTATGTGACTCTGGATAAGTCACTTAACCTTCTTTGCCTCAGTTTCCTCATCTACAAAATGAGCTGGAGAAGGAAACAGAAAATCACTCCAATCTCTGCAAAGAAAACTCCAAATGGGATTACAAAGAGCTGGACGTGCCTGAACAACAACAACAATGACCTTGACTATATTTGCCTTACCTGTTTGGTAGCTGGTATGACTTGGGGAGAGGTTTCATTGGTGTTTGGAGGATTACTTGGCATTTTAATGAGAGCTGCTTTGTTGTCAGAGGTCTTATGACTTGGTGGTTTTCGATTATAGGTGTTCTGTTTCCCAGATGTTGTGGTGTGTGCATTCACCACAGGCAGCAGTGAGCTACAGGGTGTTCTTGAGGAGTAATTGTTTTTCGGATGTGAAACTGAAAAACAACAACAACAACAACAAATAACATTGGTGTTAGAGGGTATGAAATTAGCATTGGCACCTCAGTAACTCGCCAGTGAATTATATATTTCTCTTGCTTATTCTGTAGATGAGGAAACTGTCAGTTGGTGGAAAGCACACATTCCATTTCTAGATGCTACGGTTCAGACTGACCAGTATTTCCAAAATATCTTAAATTTACTAATGCTGTGTTACCAGGCACTTTACTAAGGAGAAATTCCTTTTTTCATGTACCCTACCACCCAAAAAGCTTACTTCCAGTAACCATAGCTGATTACAAAGCTCACTGAAACAGCACAAACTATGCTGGTAGATTCTTTGAAGTTAGGTAAGATTGCTAGACAGTTAATATTTATAGCTCCTGATGTTTTTCCAAAAAGTAGCTTTTCTGACAAATAGTGGTGACTTTTCTTATAGGTCCCTGGAAAGAGAGCAAGAATAGCAGTACTCTGCAACTCAGAGTTCACTTGAATTTTTTTTTTTTAATTAACTATTCTGGACACTTTTAATTAGACCTTAAAATATAAGATTTTTCTTTCATTCTTAGAATATTTGGTTTAGAAGATTCAGAAGATCTTGATTTCGATGAGGAATGGCATAGCCTAGGACTTTCCCCTGGGGTTGATAATTGCCAGTTTTGATTCAATTTTGGAGACTGGAAAAAACAACAACAAAAACCCACAGGGGTGGTAGTCATTACACTCCATGTAGGTTATTTTTCTATGCTTCCTTTAAAACCTGCATTTCTTAGAAGTCCTTGTCATACACAATATGAGAACCTCACAATACCACTATTAGCATACTATTGCCAAGCCTTCTTTAATTGGGTCTGAGGAAAGAAAGGAGCACTCTCATCCACTGAGGGTTGATTCTTGTCTCAACTACTTGGCAAGGGCATCTTTCTCCCCACTAGATGGCACTGGAGTGAAGATGATGCCTCAGGCAGAGTTGTGAATCATCTTTGGAGATTCAGAAGACTGAAGACACACAGTCACTGAGCACTAGCCTCATTCTATCCAGAAAGCCAGAGTGGAAACTGTGACAAACGGTCAAGCTTTCAATTAGGAATTATACTCTTTGCTCATTTTTTTTCAGGGAAAAATCCAGAAAGAGGATGGAGAGTGGGGTAGATTCCTTCTGTAAGAAATTTAGAGACAATAAAGAAAAGAAGACCACTTTTTGAAGGTGCAGTCAATTCTCAGTTATCTGCATGCAAATTTACTAGTCTGTAGATCTTCCAGGCCATCTGCTTTCCCTCTTCCCTCCTTCTGCTATATTTGATCCCCTTCATTTATTTATTGTGGGAATTATTTATAAGTGGGAATATTTATTCCCACTTCCATTGGAGAGTGGGCTGAAATTGGGAAACTCAGTGTATGAAGTTTGACTGTTAGGTCAAGAATGAGGGACAAGGCAAGCTAATTATCTGAAATGAAGTCTTTGAGCTATTTGTGGACTTCACTTAAGCCAGGTAGTTGTAGGTTGCCTTTGCCTTTAGAAAAGAGTAGACTCTAAGCTCACAGATAGAACCTGGAACACTTTACAACACAACTAATTATTATCAGATTTATTAGGAAGTCTTACTCTTTAAGCAACATAATATGTCTAATGTAGAATCTCAGCTGTTTTAAATCAGAAGAGTAGTTAGCTTTCTTTCCATTCTTTAAAAAAATGTACATTACAAGGTGAAAACTTTAGTTGACTTGTCTATTTTCCATATAATTTAGTCATAAAAACTCCCCATGGCATACTGGCATTTGGGGATCCTGAGTTGAAATTCTGGCATTTCTGGTGAATTGCTATAGGATCTTAAGCAGAACAATCTCTATAGGTCTCATTGGTATAATAATTTAATGGCTCTATTAACTCATCATCAGTGTGAATATTTGCTCCACCAGTGTGAATCACAACCCATCCATGCTGTCTTATTCCATGATTCTTGTCCACATTGGCCTATTATCCATCATTGTGCTCCTCTAGAGCAAGGTACCTTAAGGGTGTCATGGACCCCTTTGGCAGTCTGGTGAAGCCTCTAGACTCCTGCTCAGAATAATGATTTAAAATGTATAAAATAAAATAGGTATGATTATAAAGGGAACCACATAGATTTAAATAAGTTATATGCATGTATATATATACACATATACATACACACACATATGCTTTAAAAAGCAGGTTCATGGACCCCAGGTTAAGAGTCCCTGCTGTAGGTAGTTCATATATGGGTGTGTGTGTGTGTGTGTGTGTGTGTATACACACACACACACACATATGTATATATATGCACACACACATATTCATATATATGTGTGTATATACACACATATATACACACACATATATATGCATATATGTGTATAAAACACACACATGTATATATGTCTATATGTACATGTATGTATATCTGTGTTTATGTATGTGTGTATATATATACATGCACATACATATATATGTGCATATGTATATGTGTGTATATATATTTCTTGAGCAGCAGGGCAGCACTCCAGGTATCCCTCTGTTCTCTCTCACTCCTGCTACCTTATTGGAATATCTTTTCTTGACTATAAATTTTTTTGGTAGAAATCTTTTATGCCACTTTTAGCACACAAATCATTGTTGGTAACATGTATCCTATATAAACTGATCATGCTTTTTTCTGTATTGTCTGTTGCATCAGCTGGAGATTGTAGTAATCCATTTTTGGGAGCTATTTAATATCACTAGGTAAATGTGTTTAAAAGATTGTGTGTGTGTGTGTGTGTGTGTGTGTGTGTGTGTGTGTGTGTGTGTATGCAGTCTGGGATCCTCAAAATGATACCCAATCTCCAAAATGCAATTTAGCTGGTTCTTTTCATCTTACTTAATTTTGGGCCCAAATCATTATCTATCTTCAGCATCTGTTCAAGATGTTTACAGATGGATTAACACATTGGACTGCCTATCTAACTGCATGCTATGATCTGAGCAATAGGCATTTTTCATCCACTTAATTTCTCCTATGTGGTTTGTCAGGCTGATTCCTTCTGAGTATTTGTGGAAAGTCCCAATATGTATTCTGGGTTTGATGCAGTCAGCACAATGTAATTTATAAATAGGAGCATCTGAAGTACCTTACCAATCACACAGTGTTTGTGCAGGACATCCTTCTTGACAACTACACACATCTTTGACCTGTTTTATGCCTCACTTGATATTCAGAAACAGAGGACTGTTGAACAGTTATGTGTGTTGTTACATCTATCAAGAAATCTTGTAGGCATGTAATATATGCATAGGAGACACCTTGTGAAAGAACAGCTGAATTGTGTACTCTAGTGAATAGATATAACATTTACAAACAATAAATTCATTGCGATTTCGTCTTTTTTTATACACATCAGTCAATCAGGTGACTTTGAAGACATAGTGTGCAGTGGGAAATCAGAACCTTCTCTTTCCCCTTCTCATATCTTCATCAATATGTATGTAGATCATCCTTTTAAAGATTTTACATAGGTGAGAAAATAGTCTCAAATTTAGTAGTAGCTGATGTCTTTTCAGTCACCTTTTTGGGGGCAATAGTCCATGATTTTTTTTCCATTCTTTTGGAATCTTCTCCTCTTTGAGATATCTTAAAAACTGATCCCTGAGTGCCTCCAAAATTATGCTAACTTCAGGCTTGATTTCTTCTGTATGTACATAATTGGGTCCAGCAGCTGCTCCTCCTGACTTCATCTTCATTCATGTAATTTTTACTTTATCATGTAACATCCTGTACGTTAGGGATATCTGAGTCCAAACGTGGTTGTGGTTTCATTTCCATTAAGAGATTCCTATAGAAATGCTGTTAAATCTGTTCCATTTTGCATTTAGGGGATGATCTGGATTAAATGAGTACCTAGCATGTAAGTTCCTTTATACATATGCAATCATATACATATATTCCCCACCACCAACTACAATTTAATCTTCTTTGGCAAAATGCTGACCTACGCTTTGGGGTTGGTGGGAGGAGGACAGTGGGTATTGTAGATAACAGAAAACCGTAAAGTATATTCACAGTACTCATTTAGTATGCAAGACTCACTTTCTCCACAGAGCATGATTTGGGTCTTTAGCTGTTCGATGTCACAGGAGAACCTGGCAGATCTTCCTAGCTCTTCATCGTATTTGCGTTCACTGACAAAGTGCTTAAGAGATGGACAATTAAACAGAGACATCAAGGTAAAAAAAAAGTTAGTGGAAATATTCTTGAGTGTCTGTAGGCACAAGAATAGTAAAGTCATCAACGATGAATCACACTCCAGCTCATTTGATTTTCCCTGAGCTCAGTTCCTCCTCCCCCCATCCCGCCCCCACACGCCATCCCCGGCCCCCTGCCTTGTTCCTGACACTTCCAGTTGTCTTCCTGACTCCAGGTCCCTGTCTGGAGTTTTATGATTCTCTAACCTCAGCTGGGATCAGCTGATCCGTACTATTACTACCTATTCCAGGAGAATCTGAATTTTAATTAGAGACTCTGGAAATTCTAAAAGCTCTCTGAAGTCAGCAAGAAGAATCACTAACAGAAGACTTTCAATAACTTTAACAGGTTCTAGGTGATATGTTTTTGGTGATATTCTCTGCCTGATGCCCCTCAAATGACCTCATATTAGTAGGTCCTGACTCCCCTATTTATCAGATCATATCTACCCAAAGAAGGGGGAAGAAAACTGTTACATTCTCATTCCTCCCAAAGTCTTCTCTCAAACTAGGCTTATGCTAAACTAAGCAGAGATGAGCTTTTCTGAAGACGGCAGCTCATCCGCCTTGCTTGGAACTATTTCAGTGCTCTGCTCTTTCAGTCACAGTCAGAAGACTGTGCTGGAGATTTTTTTGGGTGGAGAGGGGGACAGCACATGTGGAGGTGAGATGGAGAGGAGGATGACCATAGATTTAGAACTAGAAGGGACCTCAGTTCATTTGATCCAATTCCCTCATTTTAAAGAAGATAAAATTAAGACCTACTCAAATTCCACGATTTGGTCCAAGTCACCAAGGCAGAGCTGGGATTTGAATTCAGCTCCTTTGAATCCAGGATGTTCTCTAGATTGTCTCATTTCAAGAAAGTATTTTGGACATGGGGCTGGGTAATATATTCATAAAAGTTTGTAGGAAGAGAGCTTCCACATTCAACCTCGCTCTATTTCAATTGCTTGAATTTAAAATTCTCAGTGTCATACACACACACACACACACACACACACACACACACACACACACACACACACACACACACACACTCCTCCACTAGCCCATTTCCTCTGGGCCTGTTCTCAGTGAATATACAGAAAAGCTCAGTCCTTCTCCATGATAATAAATCCTGCCATACAGTGACCTTTACCCTTCTCTGGTCTCCATTTTAACCTTCTTGAAAGAAAACCTAACAGATTATGTCAAATCCTTAGAGAAAAAACACTATGTACAAAACAAAAATAATGATGATCTTATCTCAGGCTCAGCATTCAGGCTTTGACATTTCAAAACTTACCTTAATTTCCGCCCGGAGTTCAGCCAGCTGTGCCTCAGCCATCTGACTGGATAGATCAGTAAGTCTCTTTAATTCTTCAGCTTTTTTCTGACGAGCAGTCAGAATTTCCACTGCCAAGGAAGAAAGAATAATATATTAAGGACAGAAATTTAAACATATTAATGGACATATTTTAGAATCAATTTTCCTTTTTTATACTGACTTGTGAATACATATCCATATCCATGCTCTGTTTTCTGATCTGGTCACTGAAGCTGTTTCCTAGTGCAAGCTGTTATTGTTGCTATCTAATCCTCTTCGCTGTGCTTTAATCCCACCAACAAACTCCTTCTCCTCCTAATTAACAATTTTCCTTCCCACCCTTTTACCTCTTCTCTACTCCATTTTCTGTAAAAAAATTCAAAAAGGCACCTGCTCTAATCTTATCCGAAGATCTCAACTTTCAAATGGGGAAATGCTAAAAGAAACAATTATCTTAAAATAGAAACTGTGAAAAATTACAAGCTGTCTAAAAGCAACTTTAAATTCCATGCAAATCTGGATCACTGTGTGAAGCATGGGAATCCATTGTGAAGGAAAAATGTTTTGTTTCATATGCTGAAAAATATCTAGAAAATATATGGTATTTGTGCTAGTTATTAAATAAATTAAACATTAAATAATAAAATAGAATTTGTTGGCAGATATATTCTATATTTCATCCATCCAGGTTCACTTAGGGCAACTAACTGCCATCTGAGTCATTCACCTATGTTTGACTTGACACTAAGTACTTTTAGGAACTGAAAGGTTCCCAGATGCCTCTGCTGCGATGATATGCTTCCATTCTACAAAAGGAGTAGAGTTCCAAATCTAAGCATTTCACGTCTGTATTGTAAATGTCCCCAAAGACACATTTGCAAGTGTACGTCAATGCCAACTTGAACTGGAATGGTCCAAGAAGAGTATTCTTCAGCATCTGCACATGTGGAGAAGACGCTAGGGAGTTCTCAGCCTCTATATTTTCATACATCTGTCAGCTAAATTCCAGATCCAAATAGATCTAGTAGCCCACAGGCATTTCATGTGAATTTGTGACAGTTCCTAAAATACATTAGAGCCCATAAAACAATGAATAAAAACACACAGTGAGACTGCATTTACAACATTATCTTTAAACAAACTGTTCCATCTCATTTATGTTTTACAATCACTGTCTCCATTTGAATTAGACAAACACTGTTTGTTATAAGAAAAAAAAGGTATATCTAATTGAGAATGTGTATACAGCCATTCATTTTAAATTCTTGGCTGAATAATAACCCATTGCTCTATTAGATTCAATTCATAATACACCTCCAGAACCACAGTGCCAAATAACATGATTTCTGATTGTGAGAACACTTAATGTACAAAATATCAAAAAATAGGCATTTAAATGCCTGAATGAAACAAAGTAAAGATTGAATCAAAAGTTAAAATGTCCTACAAACCCATATACCACATCATTAGACTATGATAGACATATCTTTTCATAAAACTTAACAGTGATAGCAATGTTGTGATATTAATAAAATAATCAAATCATAAATCACATAGACCAATAGAATGTTAGGCTGGTATAATTCCTTTTTGATTACTTACCCCCTCCCCCTGATTTACCAAGGCATATTTCCCAGGAAAGATTGATCTGTGCTGTACAGCCTCTCAGAATGTGTAGGAACCTGCTAAAATATTCAAATTTTTTTTGCACTTTTCCCTTTGTTTATGGGGGTGGTGGTGGTAGTGGCAGTGACTTACAAGAAGGATGTGGAACAGATTGATGTTTTGGGTGATTTATTACCAGGATGGAATTAGGGGAAAGTAGCAGTTTTCTTTCCCAAAATGATCACTTGAAAGTGTCTGAGACCAGAGATTCTGGAAAGCAATATGGAATTATGCCAAAAAAAAAAGTTTCTAAAATGTCCCAATTCCTTTCACTCAGAGGTCAAAGAAATGATGAGGTATATACTTCAAAGAGAACCTAAATGGAAAGAAAGGTGTATATGTGTATATGTGTACATACACACATATGGGTATGTGCATGCATATATATATATATGTGTATATGTATGTACACACACATGCATGCTCATACACATATGTGTGTGCGTATACATACATGTATGTACATACACATATGTGTGTGTGTTCATAGCAGCACTTTTATGATAGAAAAGAACTAGAAACAAAACAGATGCCCACAAATGGGTACACAAATGTCATAGAATATTACTTAATTGTGAGAGAGGATGGATTTGAAGTACAGCATTAGAGAAGCATGGGAAAAATATGAACAATTATACACATTGACTACAACTATGTAAATGGAAAGAACAGCAACAAGTCAAAGGACTTGGGTTCAAATCCTGCCTCTGACAGTTACTAGGTCTGTTACCTTGGACAAGTAACTTCATTTCCTTGTGCCAGTTTCCTGATGTCTATGAGATGAGAGGGTTGGACTAGATGGCCTCTAATTTCTCTTCAGCCCTAAATCTACAATCCTAAGAAAAATTGAATGCTATGTAATTATAAAGACTGGGCTTGGTTGAGATAAAAATGATCAAACGAAGCTCCCTTTCTCCTTTGTAGAGGTGAAAGGCTGTGGAGAACTTTGTAGCAGTGAATAACAGTAAATTGCATATACTGTCAGAATTGGTCAATGGTGTTGGTTAGTTTTGCTAAACTGCTTTTCCCTCCCATTTTTCTCTTCCTTATTGCAAGGGATAACTCACTGTGTAGTGACTGGAAGGGATATATTCATAAATGAAGAGAGAATATAAAAACAAAAGCTATCAATAAAAATTTAAAATTTGAAAAAGAAAAATGTGTGGGACCCAAAATCAATTCAACTTAAAAAGTGTAGGACTGAAAGTCTAGAGATCCAGAAGGCATAGTATCAAATGAAAGTCTTTGAAAGAATTTATGTGAAGTAAGAAAGTATAGTAAGATTAACTGATGGGCTCTTTTTTTTCAGGACCATAGAACAGGAAAGAGATGGTGCCAAATGTTCAAGATGAAATCAGGTAAACAGCTGGAATAATAAAATCATAAGATGGCAGAGGTGGAAAGCACACTGGAGTGTATCTAGTTCACCCTCCTCACTTTCCAGAAGAGGAAACTAAGGCCTAGAGAAATTAAGCGGCTCATTCAGGGTCATGAAGCTTGACTATAAGTCAAGCATTCTCAACCCAAGCATTGTCAGTTCCCAAGGCACTCTAGTAATGCTCTCTGACTTTTCTTTATATGTGATTTTTAGAGTAGCTGACAATTAGATAATGTTGTTCTTTTTTTTGAGGCAGTAAGAGTAAAGCATTCACACCAATGGCAGTGAAAAACCAAAGACGTCATCCGAAAGGATGTAAATGGGCCCCAGAATAAGATTGCAGGTGCAGAATTACCAGCCAATTCCTCCTGTGCTCAAGTTAATGTAAATGTGCATGTAAATGAAGACACGTGCATCAGCAAGTCTTTGGAAGCATTTTACATATATTCTACATTAACATTTCAAAGCCATTCATTATGAAAAAGCCTTAAAACTTCAGATCTAAAGCAGTACTTCTTTTGGGGCTGATATTATCACCTCAAAGACATCAATAAAAGATTCAGGACTAAACTTGAGGTTCATTTGATCACGTCAGTATAAACAGAATTATAAGGAAATTTTGAAACTACCATTTTTTCCCTCTAGAAATATGAAAGGGAAGAATGGTTGAATGAGTAACTTTATACATCACTGTATTCAGGACCTGACATATTAATATTACATTATTATCTATATTTTTAAGAAGTATCTAGACCGCTGAAATGTATTTTCTCTGTTGCATTTATAAAATCCTTTAGAATTTTAGGAATACACTGGAATACTGGAATCATAGAATTCATGAGGGGAAAGTTCCCTTAGAAATCACTGAGTTCAGTTTCCTCATGTTACAGATGAGGAAACTGAGGCCCAAAAAAGTTAAATTATTTGTCCAAGGTTTTACAACTGGTCAGCTTCAGAACTGAGATATGAATCTAGTTCTCCTTGTTCTCAGTACTGTATTTCTTTCATTGTACCACCTTCATTTCTACCTCTTAAAATTCCTAGTTAACTTCAAAGTTAAACTCAAATACCGCTTTCCACATGAAGCCTTTTCTTATCTCCTCAACAGCTTGTGTCTTCCCCAACCCTATGTCTGAAATTTATTTGCATATATTTATGTGTCTTGTTTTCTCTGATAATGTACACTCCTTAAGGTCAGGGGTTATTTTCATTTTTTTTCTTTGTATCACTAGTGTCTAGTACTCTGCTTGTTGTTTATAAAATGAACCATATTGATTCATAATTCATTATAAAGACAAATTCATTTTAGATCTTTTTTAGGGAGGTTAATTACCAGAAGTACTAGAAAACTTTGTTATGATATTTCTCGAGTTGAGATCTTCCCTTTTTCTTTGTTATCCCTCATCCCTCCACTAACTTAGGAAATGGGCAGCTAGGTGGTACAGTGGATAGAGTGCCAGGCCTGGAGTCATGAAGACCTGAGTTCAAATATGGCCTCATATACTTACTTCCTGTGTGGCCTTGGGCAAATCACTTAACCCTGTATGCCTCTGTTTTCTCATCTGTAAAATGAGCTGGAGAAGGAAATAGCAAACCACTCTAGTATCTTAGCCAGAAAACCTTAAATGGGGTCACGAAGAGCTGTACATGAATGAAACAACTCAACAACAATAAACATGAGCCATAACTTAAACCTTAAGCAATTTTTATTTTCCTGGAGTACTGGGATAGGGGCCTTAATAAGCTAAAATGTGTGTAAAAGGGGAGCCTAATTCCCCAATAAGAGGTAGGCCATCCCCTTCCCCTGTGACTGAATGTGATCTAAAATGAATGTCTGGTTACATAACTGAGAGTAGTATAGTATCCTAACCCCTGTAGAACTGGGTGGTTCCTCAATGCTGGGAAATATACCCAAAATAAATACAAGGTATTCAGATGGACAGCACTAAAGGTTTTGTCTCAGAAGCTGTGTGGAAGGAGTAGCCATTATGTGGAAGTGATGAGAACAAAGGCAGAAAAATCAGAAAAGGGAGAGAAGAAAGGGGCAAAGAAAGAAAGGAAAAAGGAGAAAGAGAAAAAGAGAGGGAAAGAGGGGAGGGAAAGTGAGAGTGAGTGAGAGAGAAGAAGAGGAGGAGGAAGTAGAGAAGTAGGAGAAAAAGAAGGAGGAGGAGGAGGAGAAGAAGAAATCCTTTTTTTCCCCCCTCTGCAACTGGTTGAAATTAAGGAATGCAAAAGGGATAGAAGGAGAATATCAAAAGGGCCTTTATATTTGGATTATAAGTGCCTGGGGATTTACACAGGAGATCTTTGGTATTAATGGTTATTCATTTAAAGGTTTCTCTTTTTTTCTCCTCTTCCTTCCAGTAAAACTTTTTTCTATATCAACCACTCAACCAAAAAATATTAATTAAATACTTACCATCCACCAGGCATTGATGATACAAATGCAATAAATGAAGCAATATCAGCTTTAGAGGAACATGCTCTGTAATACTGTGAATTATACCCTTGTAAGAAGGCAGTCATTCTCAATATACTAAATGGTAGGCACCAGGTAGACTTTCCCAGGTTTTTAGGGTGGGGAAATGTGGGCTAGGAGAAGTAAGAGGACTCCTCAAAGTATACCCAGGCATTTCATGTCATGAGAATCTCTGACAGGGAATACAGTAAGTTTCTCAACTATCATACTGTCCTCAGGCATGGGTTTTGAGGTTTTAATTTATTTCTTTAGTTTGTAATTCCTCGTTAAAATCATGCTCTGATGTATAATTGTGCCATGGAGGACAGTGTAATCCTAGGTTCTTAAAAAATATGTCAGTGTAGTACAAGTTCTGACAGGTCCTGAGATAGAAAGACTGAATGTGAGTCCAATGACAGACTGGTTATCTCTTGTCCAAGGACCAGATTAGCTAAGTGCTCAAGAGATTTTCACCAAAACATTGTCTACTAGTGCTTCTTGTTGTTTTTGTTGTTATTTTGCCTTGGCAAGTCATGAAGGCTGTCTACAAACATACTAAAGGTTTGTTTGCTATGTTACTGGAAGTAGGTTATAGCACTGAAGTAATCATAGAAGTGCTTCAGCATAGAAGTGCTGAAGTTTGCAATCATGTTGGTGTGTTCAAACATGTTGGGCCTGACATGCCATGGAAAGTAAGTTAATTTCATTTACTCAGTGCTTCAGTATGGTGCAGTGTATACATACTGGGTGAGTTTTGGAGTCAGGAATTTGGTTAAAGTCCTGCTAATGACACACAATACTTGTATGACCAAGGACAAATTACTTATGCTCTCTAAGCCCCAGGCAAATTTCTAAGGTAAGAAATTTCTTATCTGCGTTGACAGAAAGAGATCATCAGTTTCGACTTCAAAAAACAACCCCAAAGAATGCTCAATATGTACAATCAGTGTGATATAGTGGATAGAGTGTTTAGCTTAGAGTCAGTAAAATGTGGGTTCAGATCTTACATCTGGCACTTATTTATTGTGTGACTGAGCAAATCTCTTCTCTACATGCTCCAGACAACTCCCTAAGAGTGGCAGTATGGTGTAATGGAAAGTATATTAGGTCTAGAACCTGGGTTCACATCTCACCTCTGACAATTACTACCTGTGTGATCTTAGGCAAATGACTTAATTTCTGTGGGCCTCAGTTTCCTCATCTGTAAAATGAGGGGGTTGGAATAGATGGCCTCTAAGGTTCCTTCTACCTCTAATTCTATGATCTTATGATTAAGGAAATTATAGAGGGGTCATGATGGAATCTCTACACCAATATTTCTTCACTCTGGTGAAATCCCAGACCTTTCACTTATTTGCATATGTGTTCAACATTATGCTAGGTACTGTGCAGGAAGATACCATCTCTTTCCTCAAGAAACTGAGAAACAAGATGCACAAAACAAGTGGAGAGCAATTTGAAGATAATATCCAGGTGATTTCAAGATATTGTTTGTTCCCACTGTACAGAGGAGTGATGCAGGAATTCAGAATAAGGGAAAGATCAATTTGATGTTCTGTTATACGCATGGAGGATGGATTCAGTTGATATAACTGCTTCAATTATGTGGGAATGGACTGTGTTCATAGTCTCAAACCATTCTAGGAGAGAAATACTCTTCAGAAATCCTTCAAACATCGATACATTTTGGCTTCTGATGTGATTGCATGGGGAAGAGAAGGTCAGAATAGAACCTGAGGGTTTTTTTTTTCCTCTGAGAAAATGATGTGATATTGCCCTAGCACTGCGATGAGAAAGCATTGCCAGAGACTATATACAGTAAAATCTACTGCTACCACTTTCTTTGAAAGATTATGAAACTGAGGAGGAAAGCAAGCCAAGGTTGAGAAATGCAAAAAACTGTGCTCATCCACTTTTACTGAAGAAATATGATGTTCCATGAAAATGCAACCATGTCATAACTACAGAGGCTGTGAAACCATGTTAACATGCCACCTACACTAGCCCACATGCTGTGGAATGTCATCAGAACTGCTGAATGTTGAGTCTGAAAAACATTCACAATTCTATTGGCACTTTTTCAGGGAGTCCGACCTGTCACTTGGTGTCCTTTTTGGAGTAAGAAGGACTACTGTAATTTGATCTGGGAATTCCCCACCTACATTCCTAACCCAACAGTCCGCTCTAGGCACTCATCCATCACTTACTTGCTTCTTCTTTAACTTTATCCATTTCTGCCATTAATGAAACTTCTTTGTCAATGATGCTAAAAGAAAAGGACAAAATGTTAGTGAAATATTGACTGTAATTCAATTCACAAACATTTTAATCACCTACTATTGCTAAGCATTGAATTTGGTCCTGGGCTCAAAAAGCTAACATTCCACACCCTCAAGGAGCTTATATTACTCTGGGGGAAAGGAACATTTTTTGATAAACGATGAATGAAAGAGAAATAACTTTTAAAAGAAAATTAAATAGGATTAACAAAAAAGTTACTACAAATGCTTGTGTTAAGTTGTCTAACTATTGCCCAGATAAAGAATGTAAGTTCTAAATGATGTTCATTTTATCATTACCAACAGAATTTAATTCAGCAAACATATATTAATCACATACTCCACATAAGGCATTGTGTGCCAGGGACTGAAGATGCAAAGAGGTAGCAGTGGAATAACTGCTCCCAGAGAAAATCTGGTTTTTACTAAAAATATAATTGATATCTTGATATCTGGCCTCTAGATCATTTAAGTCACTTAGGGAATCCTCAGTTTTCTTCAAGTTGCAACTTCCTCTGATCTGATTTGGTGATATTTCCTTTCCCTGAGATAAGTGCTATGTGGCCTATTTACTTTTGAAATTAAAGTCAATTGAAATTAATTTTCTCTTGAGAATTTTGCAGAGCTCATTGAAGTAATTGGTGCCTCTGTGGGGTATCACAAAAGCATGGTTGGGAATTATTGAGAATGATAACTAATTGATGGGGATAACTAAACATGAACCACCCGGAGCTTTGCAGTAAGTGGCTTGGGAATGGTGATTTGGAAGCTGTTTCTACTCAAGAAGTCACCGAATCAATGTGAATTGTAAAGAACTCTCCTGGATAGCTGCTAAAAGCCAGTCAGATACCAATTACTCAGAAATATGATATGGCTTGTAAAAACATGGTGGACGAGATACAATCATTGCTGTGTGAGTAAAAGAAAAGTACAGAGAACAATGTTAGCATGTCAACACTGTTTATCAATCTTACAAGAAAATGCCAGAGATAATCAGTATCCATTTTAGACATTCTTGGTTGTTCATATATATCCTAAGGCTACCTAGCTAGTCATTCATTTATTTATTCATTTAATGATGATGACTGACAAAAGTACAGTGGCAAGAGTGCTGGTTTGGGCATCAAATCCAAGCTCTACCACTTACTGCCTGACCAACCTTGGGGAAGTCATTTAGCCTCCAGGCCTCAGTTTCCTCATCTGTAAAAGGAAGGGATTGGATTAGATGCTTTCTAAGTTCCCTTCCAGCTCTAGAACCATTGTCCTAAGAGCCTAGTAACTTACATTTATACAGCATTTTAAAGTTTGAAAAATATTTTAGATACATTTTCTTGCTGGAGTATCACACCTAACCTGTGAGGTAGGTACAATACATATTATTTGCACTTTACATAGGAAACTGAGGCTGAAGGAGGTTAAATGATTTGTCCATGATCATGTAGCTAGGAAGTATCAGTCGCATGATTTAAATTTAGGTTTTCTCTAATACAATGTAAGCTGTTTGAAGACAGGCGCTTTCATTTTTGTCTTTATTTCCAATACCAAGACAATTCCTGACCCTTCAGGTCCAACGCTCCACCTACACCAAGCAGGATCTCTTGATGGTGTTGCAAGTCATTCTGGAGTTGATAATGACTTGTGTGACCCATTCCCTGTCACCAGTAGAGTACAAGATTTCATTAAGTAGGGAAGTGTTGATCTGTTTTATGTACACTTGAGGAAGCAAATGAAGACATGGAACTTGGTGTTAAATCACACTTTTCCAGTCCTCTAGAAAATTCAATAGACCTTGAATAGCTTTAAAAGTTTTTTGCAATCCAAGAGCTGTATATACAGATAACTCTGTTTTCAAAGCTCATGGGTAGGAAGGTATGATTTTGCTGAGTCAGTGGAGTGCTATGAACTGATAAGCCCTAAAAAGACAAGCCTATAGCAAAGAAACCTTATAGCATCAGACTGAAGAGTTTCATTAGCAATGTAGAACTGAAAGCTGTCACTGAATTTCACTATCTAGGCAGCATATTGTCCAATTACACGTCTATACTCTCTCCTGCCACCCCCACTCCCGTCTCGTTTCTTCACTACCTACTTATTACTTAATCCTTTGCAATCTTGACTAAGATCACTTGACTAAAAATCTCTCCAAGGTTACCAGTGGTCTTCTGGCCCTCTAAGTTTATAACCTCAGCATTATCCTTGACTCCTTAAACTTTCTTACCCCACATGTCCAATTAACTGCCAAACCTTGCTATTTCTACCTCCCTAACATTGCTCTCACCTTACCCCTTCTCTCTACTCCCAAAGCTACCACTTTAATTCAAGTCCCTATCACCTCTTGTTTAGATTATTGCAGTGGCCTTTTAATTTGTCTTCTTGCCCCAAGTCTGTCCCTACTCCAACCTATCCTCCACACTGTGACAAAATGATTTTCATTAAACCTACAGTGCCAGGCACAGTGCTAAGCACTTTATAAATATCTCATTTTATCTTTACTACAACTCTGAGATGTAGGTGTTGTTATTATCCCCACTTTATAGCTGAGGAAACTCAGGCTAACATAGGTTAAGTGACTTGCCTGAGATAGTAAGTGTCTGAGGCCAAACTTGAATTCAGGTTTCCTTGACTTCAGGTCCAATGACTTACATAGCAGCCCGAATCTGAAAGCCAGCTATCTATCTACCAAATGTCTGCCTCTTCTAGCTACCTCTCATGCTTTCTTACCACCAAAATATAGGTTGACTTGCTCAAAGAAGTACATGAGTTCCATCTTTTGATTCTCTTAAATCCTTTAGACAGAAATTTTATTGCAGCTGTTACCTTAAAGCCATTGGTCACATCTCCCATGAACTATATGAGAGCTACCCTACTGCTTTGTGCCCCCTGCCCCCTGCCACATGGCAGTAAAAGAAGGTAAGAGATTAATTTTCCTATGGGTACAGAAATGATGGAAATTGTTTCTTGCTTGGTATATAGTACTGGTTGGCTGTAAGTCATGGTTATGCAAAAATCCAGGAAATCTTAATCATAGGAGAAATAAATAATCTGAAGCATTAATTTATGATTAAAAGATATGCTGGGTTCAATAATGCTAAATATTCACCAACTATAGCACAAGGTCTCAAGATCAAAATAGGAAGTTGATGATTCAGTTTACTAATCTGGGTGGTAATAGCTTCTTAGGATTTGCCCTTTTCCCATTTAATCATCCATAACACTAAATACTGAACTTTTCTTGGCTTAACACTTTACCTTCCACACATTTGAAAGAAGTAGAGCTTGATTTTTCCAAGTGACTTTTTCCCTGGCCACCCAAAGTATTCCCCATGTCATAATCAGGGTCATTTGAAGGGCACCAGAATTAGAGAATCTCCAGTGACACATATTCTAATAAACAAAGCCCACAGGACTCACATACTGACCTTACTTTTCTTATGAGTGCCCTTTCTCCTTCCCAAACATGCATCTTCTAATTTCACCTAAACTACTTGAGCAGTAAAATTTTATTTTGGTGCCATAAAAAAAAAGCTTTCATTACCAAAGCAATAAGACCTAAGGAGAAAAGGAATGCCATGACAGCTCTTTTGTGTCTTATTATATAGTTAATCACTGCGATAAAGGACCATTTTATAAAAATGTTTCTACTCTCTGGATTCCTTCCTATAGAACAGTGAAAGAAAGAAAAATCGATCAAGAGCTAGAAGGGCCCTCAGGGCCCATGTAATCCTAGGCCACATAAAATTACAGATCTGGAGCTGGAAGGCCCCTTAGAGGCATCTAATCCAGCATGCTCATTTCAAAATGTGGAAACTGTGATCCAAGGAAATCAAATGACTTGCTTACAGTAAAACAAGTACTAAGAACCTAAGCAGTATTTGAACCCAAGTCCTCTGCCTCCAGACCAGTGCCCTTTCTACTATACCATGCTTCCTATTAGAAAGACACCTTGGTGGAAACAAAATGAATTTACTCTGATAAAGGTCTTCGCTTAAAACTTGTACATAATGGATGTGTTAGGCAAAACTGTGATGCACTAAAAAAATATGGTAATAGTGTATTGGGTGGGCCCCCTGAAATCTGCCCTCCTAAAACAGAAATAAGGAATGATCCCTTGAGGCTAATGGACAACAAAGGTTATCAGCCTGCAGGACACAACACACCTAGGGGTTTTGGTTGTAGGAAGAGGAATTTAAAGGGGAGTTTTAAAATAAAGAAGCACACTACCAACTAGAGCTTCCTTTTAGAGCTAAACCAGGGCCACATTCCCTCCCTGATGTGTATTCCTCAGGGAGTATATTTGTAGTGAGTGAAATTGTCTGAGATCATCTGGTCCCAAGCAATTTCACATCAGCACCTTCCAGCGGGGAAAGTGACTTTTGTGCAGGCCTCTCTCAACTCATCACCTATCAAGTGGAAACAGAATGGGGAGATAATATCAGAAATCAGAAGGAAAACAGAAAGCAGGGGTGGGAATGGGCAGAGAGAAGCATCCAGGAAATGAAGGCACATCTCCCTCCCTGCAGTTACTGTACAGAATAAGAAAATGGGGGAGATAATAAGGGGGTGGGACTTCATGGGGAGAATGAATCCAAATGAATATTTTTGAGTCCTCCTGGCTCCCTCAAGTGCTATAAATCATTTAAATGAGTGAGAAGCTGCATAGTTTGGGTTCCCGGCATAAATAATTTCCATTTCCATCAGTGAAGACAACAGAGGTAATGAAAAAGCATTTTCCTCCACCTTGGGTCTTGCTCCTTATTATCACATTAAGATTAGGAGCTATGCAAACACAGCGGAATGATGGTTTGACTTCTGACAGCTTTTGGTAAATGTATTTGGTTTCTGTGAATGTAGGAAAGTGAACCAGTGCGTGGCCGGTTAATTTTGATACTAGGAAGCTACCCTGAACTAGGGCTAAGAGAGGGTCCCCTCCCAATTTCTGCCATTGTCCCTACAACCTCCACTCTTTATCTTGACAGCTCTCACTGGA